TGTAATTGGAAAGGAACATATTATAAACTAACCAACTATGTCGCTCCAGGTCCACGTTACTGACTTGCAGGACGTGGACCAATCTGGCTTGCAGGAAAGAGACAGGTATTGGCCGCACAGTCGCTTTGTCTCTTTCTAGAGAATGATCACTTGTGAGGCTAACGCTTCAGTCCATTCACTATGTCTATGGTAACTATAAGTGTTTGAAGTCTTATAAAATTGACTGCTTTATGTGTTGCCACCGTTTTTATTTAACAGTGAAGATATTGTCGGTTTTTAATTTAGTTGTTAATAGTTAAGTACGAAACATATTGTATCATTGTCTAATTTATTAAATTATCAAGGATATGTGATGTTAATAATTATGTGATTTGTCTTTCTGTATGTATTATCAGTATTAATGGACATTTCCGAACCAAATATACTAAATTAAATGACTTTAAGATGTATTTTTTCCTTTTCCATTAATTAGGTATATACATACTGTGTAGGTACATAACATAGTATCAAGTCGACACGGGACATCCTTGACGAAAGTTTATCGATCAAATTAGTGTTATATCGAAAATGGGCCACATTAAAGTACCCTTAACTGATGAGCATGTATGCATAGATATTAGGATGTAAAGGAGGCGAGAGAAGCGTCAGGATCGTGCCAAATGGAAGTCCGTAGTCTCTGCCTACCCCTCTGGGTGACAGTAATATCATAACATAATATTAACACATGTTTATGTTATGTTATGATTTACATACAGTATAACTGCAGCGTAAGAGAATCCATAATCCCAAGTAAACTCGTGGGTGTCGCATAAGAAGCGACATAGGTAAAGTGAAACAGGAAATACAGAAAAACAGCGTAAAATAGCAGCTTAATGCTGCTGTGTTTCGTTTGGTGAGTGTAGACAACCGGAGACCTTTTTTACTGGAAAAGAGGCATTCCATCTTAGTCCTCACGGGTGACAACGCATCTGCATTTTGATTCGCAAACGAGGATAGACGTGGATGTCTATGGGCCACAGCAACCACATACCATCAGGTGCTCGTTTGTCAGCCTTATCCTATATAAAAAAAAAAACTTAGCAGCATCTTCCAGATAACGACGTAGGTTATAATATAATAAACTGCGGTTGCCAGACCTGCCTGTAAAGCGTGGCAACTAAGGCGAAAGTTACCCCTATGAGGACAATTGGGGAGGCCTATGTTCAGCAGTGGACTTTAGATAGTCTGTAATGATGATGATGACGATAAACTACGTACATATGAAATTAGTAGTAAAATATTAGGCCTTTACCTATGAAATTGCTGTTTTTAGGGTTCCGTAGTTACGCAACAAGGAACCCTTATAGTTTTGTCATGTCCGTCCGTCCGTCCGTCCGCCCTTCCGCGGCTTTGCTAAGAGACCCTAGGTGCTACAAATCTGTAATTTGGCATAGTTTTACATATTAACATTTTTAATTGGGTACTTCCCATACTAGGAAATGGATGGAAAAATTTTTTTTTACCCGTCTATTACATAGGCTGCACTAAAAGTATCGGGAATGGAATATTTCCACTGTTCCTGTCATATTAAAATCTTTTTAATTGAAAAGTCCTTGGTTTTAAAAGTCGAATACCATTTATTTATTTAAAAAAAGATTCTCGGTCTTGTCACAAGATTTTGTCAAACTTGTTTAGTCGTTGAGAAAATGGAATTGACTCGAGAAAATTCAAGAGCGATGATTTATTATGACTTTCGAAGTGGTTTAACACAAAAACAGTGTGTTGACCGGATGATTTCTGCATTTGATGATGAAGCCCACTCCAAAACCACAATTTATCGCTGGTTTGCTGAATTTCAACGTGGACGTGTCAAGCTCAGTGATGATCCCCGTCAAGGTCGTCCAAAAACTTCAGTCACCCAAGAAAACGTTGATGCTGTGCGTAAGCTGATTGAGGAAGATCGACATGTGACATACCGCGAAATTCAGGCAACTTTAGACTTTGGCATGAGTCAAATACAAATAATGTTGCATGAACAATTAGGTGTAAAAAAGTCGTTTTCCCGATGGATACCGCATTCGCTCTGTGAAGAGCAAAAAGCGGCTCGCGTTACTTGGTGCGTCAGAACTCTCGAAAGATTCCACGCAGGATCCTCAAATGATGTATACAACATCGTATGAGGTGACTAATCCTGGATATACGCGTACGAACCCGAAACAAAAAACCTATAAAACGGCCATTTTGGAGACCCCAACTTCCGAATGGAATGGTTTCTTCAATGATTGGTTCCATCGTATGGAAAAATGTGTCAAATTTCGCGGAGAATACTTCGAAAAGCAATACATACATTTTTAAATAGAAATGTTGTGTCACTTCCTTGATTCCCGAAATTTTCAGTGCCGCCCTCGTACATGTGAGATATCGTTGGATAGTTCTTTCAAAAACTGGGGGTGTGGAACAACATATTTTTGATTTAGGGGTCTGTTTGCGAAATATTTAGCTTTAAAACGGTATTTTTCATTATAGTCATGTGTTCGCCCCCTTCCCTCTCTACCAACTAAACCGCTTAATAAGGAAATGTGAAAAGTATACACAAAAAAACTATCACAGCTAAGTAGTATTAAGAGGTTAACGAGTAATAGTAAACCTAGTTATAAAACGCACTTGGCTACGTAAAAATTTCGTTATAACTCCAGAGAAAATGACTTCAAACTAGCTGAATTATAACTTTGTAATGTTATTGTAAATTTAAAAATAAATATTTTATGAAGAAAACGACTTATATGCATTACTACTATTAGCTTTACTTTTTAATTTGCGAGATAGGGTATTATTTTCGAAATAGAAAAGTTTTTTTTAAATTTTTTTTGAATACATTTAGACTTAAACCCGTAAGTCTAATTTGAAAATAAGTCCTTCAGTTACGGTCTTCCTATTTGCGACCATTTATAGCCGTTATAGCGGTCAAACTGCGAACTTATTATGCTCATTATTAAGAATGCCCACGCATTGTGACGGGCAACTACGGAACCCTACCTCTACATTGTGCATGACTCGACACGCACATGTTCAATTTTTTATGAAAGTTAAAGTAATTTTTTTCTATATTTTTATTTCTATTAATTAAAGTAATCACTCATGCAATCGATGCATTTTGCTAACGCAGTGGCAGTTTATTGATGCCCTTCTTGATAAAATCTGCTGGACGGGAGGCAACAAATTCTTCAAGGGCATTTTGTACAGTCTCTCGGGTATAGAATTTTTTCCCGCCTAAAAGTTATCCAAATTCTGGAAAAAGTAAGCGCAAGGTCAGTGAGTACGGCGGATGACAGAGAGCTTCCGACCCTAGCTGTTGTAACTTAGAGACCGTCTGTTGTGCAGTATTATGTGCTTCCTGTACACTACTCGCGAAGTAACTTCGACGAAGTGCTCGTCGAAGTCGATCGCAGTCCGAAGAACGTGACCACACACTCGTGCTACTTCGTGAAGAGCTCAGTCGCACAGAGTACATTGTATATACATGAAACTCAGTCGTCTTGAGTCTCCCGCACCGTTAACATGAATGATGTTCAAGAGGCAGCTGCTTTATGTACCTAATTGTGTAAACAGGTACTCTGTGGTAAACAGTACGACGTCAATGCGTTAACTAAATAAATAATTATGTAGAAAGCTATATATTTAATATTTATATATATATAAAAATATATTCATAACTGGCGTAAGCCCGAGTAGTGTAGTGAGACGCTTCGTGTAACTTCGAGGTACTTCGCTGAAGCCCTTTGACTCTGGCGCAAAAAACCGACAGCGATCGGAAGTCGCCCGAGGCGAAGCGAGGTTGGACGAAGTGAATCGAAGTACCTCTCTACACTATTCACCTCGTCCAACTTCGATCTACTTCGCGAGTACCGAGTAGTGTAGAGGAGGCATTAGATCACAAATTATAAAGTTGTATGTGCATTAGATCGCGCGTTGTCGTGCAGGAGCAGCGGGGACGAGTGATTGAACAAAGCTGGTTGGAGACGTGCGAGCTTCTCCATTATTGTGTTCAGTTCTTCATAGTACACATTTGCAGTAATGCAACCCCTTTGGTAAGAAGCTGTGGTTAATCACACCGGCGCTACTCGTAGAATCCGTTAAATTAGTTTCATTTAAAATGAGGTAAAATATTCTCATAAGCCACTTCCATAACATGGCCTTATTCTTAAGTATCTAATATATAAAAAAATTATGTTTGTTTGTTCGTATTTTATGCGCTGTCATAGCGTTCATCAGATTGCAACTTAGGCAACTTATTGCGTGCACTTGCGCGAAGGTTATAGGCATAGTACAATTAACTTACAGTAGGTGGCGCGCGTATCGTATCAAAAAATATTTGAAAGCTTAGACATCATTTAACTTCAATTAATGTAATATCGTTCCTAACTAATAATATTATAACTCTTCCAAAATTTAAATCGATATTACCACAATTATTTCTTCTGTGGCAGTAACGCGCCGGGTAACTAAATAACACAAAACTTGTGAGATATAAAGTCGTGGTAGTAGCAAAGGGCCCAAAGGGGCTAACTGTACCTACCTACCACTAGCAACTAGAGTTTGCTCCCCGTCGCGTCGCGACATGATCAAAAGCGAAGAAAAACATAAGTGAGGTCACGATGTTTTGCATATGCAATGCTTCTCCGAGAAATAAAACATTTCTAGGACGCGTAAAGTCTGCATGGATTTGAGCAGTCACAGTACACTGTTACTCCTAGGGAGCAATGCTTATCTCTTAGAAATTAAAGAAGGCCTGTGCATATAATTCAGCCTTTAAGAGGCTGTAAAGTAAATTACATTAGGTTATTTTACGGGAAAAGGAAATAAAACAACAACTTAAGATTCTTTCAACTTAAGAACGTTCTTTTGAAATTGTTTTCAAATATATTTGACTCGATAATTGATAATGTTTTACTAAATTCTAACTAAAGTTTTCTTGTTCAATATTTAATATTCATACATAGGTATATATCGTCGTTCTTCTCCTAGAATATAATAATTTTAACAGATAATGATATAAATAGAAGCAAGTTATTTGATGTAAAGACATTATTTGCTCGGCTTTTTGGGTCCGGGATCCACGGGCCGCATTGTCGATATCCTTCTTCCTGCAATATAAAGAGAATGATAGTAAACATTATCTTACCGTAGGTAGGTACTTGAATAAGTTATAAACGTTATGTAACATACAGGGTTATTTTGCAATAAGCGGCCAAATTTGCAGAGAATGTTCAGAAGGTTCAGAATAAGTAGTATAGTCAAATGGTAAAGAAAAATTAATTTAAAAACATCTCAAATATTCTCTCCTTTTTATCTTTTAAATTCCAAATGCGTGGTAATGCATTATTTTAACTGATTTTACTGCGCACGTACACATTCGCAAAAACGTTGTTGCCTATGGATTATGATTCACATCCAACTTTGGATAATTTCAAATAAAAGTAGAAGCCCTATTTACACCAATTTTCAAATTTTTTTTTATAGGATAAGGGTGACAAACGAGTACACAGTCCACCTGATGGTAAGTGGTTGCTGCGGCCCATAGACATCTACATCTATCCTCGTTTGCGAATCAAAATGCAGATGCGTTGCCACCCGTGAGGACTAAGATGGAATGCCTCATTTCCAGTAAAAAGGGCCTCCGGCCACCTGCACTCACCAAGCGAAACGCAGAGGTAAACCTCTACTTCACGCTGGTTTTCTGTGAGGTCGTGGTACCACCCCGGTTCGAGCCGGCCCATCCGTGTGACAGCAAAAGCTGCCGCGTGGCTCTTCCACTGTTAAATACTGCGATAACGGAATATCATTATTTATATATTTGAACTTAAGTTTAAAATTTGACTACTCTAAAAATAACCCTGTAAGTATATATAAAATACCCATATTATGTTTTAACTGAAATGCATAGATAGAAAGGGTCAATGCTTTTTAAAATGCATAAGTGAAGACATAAAATAAGGTCGTTAATATGAGGTCTATATTAAGGATCCAAGACTATAAATATATAAAAGTAATGTAAAATATGTAAAAATATAAATACATACTGAGCAATAATTAAATTTTGAGTGCATTTTAAGTTTCTTAAGTACTAGAAACTTCAATACTCTCTTCAATACTCAAGTACTTAAACTTCATCTTAAGTACTGGAGTTTAAAACTGATTAAATTAATCACAAAATTGGTACAGGTGTCGTCTATAATTAAGAAGTGTCATAAACTTTAGTACTTATAAATAATGTAAGTGGCTTAAAGACTAGGTGTTAATCCAATGTTTTTGGATTTTAATGAAAACACAAAGACTTTACTTACGTAAGTATAATTGTGTGGGTAACATTGAACGTGTGGCGGGCGACTAGGCAGCGGGACGCGATTGCGCCAGCACGCCAAACGGCTAGCTGAAGGTTCCAGTCCCGCCCTGCCGTCTGCCATCTCCACCTAAGATGGGATATAATTTAAATTTTTTTTCCTGATATATGATAAACTAAAATATTTACTAACAAAGAAATAGCGCTATGAGTAACGCTATGACTTTCTACACAGCGCAGGACTTGATAGCTTGGAGCAAGGCTTTAAGGCGCAGGTTGAGCAAAATGTCGCGCTAGTCGTTATTTGTGCGGTTTTTAGGAGCTATCTACTTTTTATTTAAAAGGTATATCAACAAATAAAAAACACAATATATGTCTACATAATCTTGATTCCATAAAAGCTATATCCAATTTTTTTTAAAGGAATAAATATTAATATAATCTCCTTACAACGAAACCACATAAATGTGAAATTATTATTGATAACATGCATCTCCTCGTAAAGTAAGTATTATTTTATTTTGCGATTTACACCAATGGATAGGCAATTTATTAATGAAAATTTCTATAGTAATTTTTTTTTTCAAGAAACCAAAATTTGATTTTATTAAGAAATTATTTTAAAATCTGGGCGTATTCCTGCCCGTGCGATAGCAGGCTTCAGTAAGCGCTGAGCTCTTCGACGTGAAGCACGTGTCGTTACAGCGTCGGTCAGCGCATACGCTCACGTCATATCAGTCGATAATATTATTACTTATTAGGTTATTTATAGGTAGTATTATTTGTTTGTTTGTATAATTTTTCGTATTAGTTATACATATATTTGTTGTGTTTTTTACTGCGCGATGAAGCTTTTTGCGTGTATTTTCTTTGAAGTAAATGCAAATAAAAAATGAAGCACCATTAGCATGTAAGGTTCGAATCCATAATTAAAATTTCGACAAATATTATAATTTACACTATAAAAGGCTAATTCAATATTATCACCCAACCACAATATCTTATTAGGTATAGTACTGCCTCGTTGGTTTAGTGGTTGTAGTAGTGCGACTGCTGATCATGAGGTCCTGGGTTCGAATCATGGGTCGGGCCAAAAAGTCAGTTATGAGTTTTTCATTTATGTTCTAAGTTATAATTAGTATTACTAAGTTATAGTTTTTTGCTAAAATATAGTATATTATTTATTGCATGTTTTTTCTTCTTTTTCAAAAAATAATTGAGTACATAAGGTGTTCTATACTTATAATTCGGTAAAAAGTATCTAAGTTGGTACTAATATACCTACTTTTTACTATTAATTAAAAAAATTTAAAACTAAATGTAACTAAAAACTAAACTGACCATTTATTTTTTAACTCAAAACAGGACATGGGTTTATTTATACTCTAAAAACTATAACTTTATACAATTAGTGTTCACTATAAAATTATATTCGGTATAGACGGTAATTATTAAATGCAACATATTTTTTTTAATTATTAATTACATTTGTCAGTGGATTAAATTTGCTTTAATAAAGTTGGTGATGATTTTAAATAAAAATAAAATTTTGCTCAAGTTTTTTTATTGTTATCTTTGTTAACAACATCGCCTTTAGAACTCTGGAACCGTAAGTGTTTCTTACAGACGTCCACAATTTATGCAAAATAAAAAAAATACTCTCTCTACCGGAGCATTCGTACCAGGTAGACATAAAATATATTCGATTAAAAAAATTATGTTGAAGATTGTTGACTTTGAATACTTCCATCCAACGAGTTACGGGACAATTTTGTGTCCCGGAGCTTTGTTTGGGGACAATGGGACAGGTGACCGAGAAAAGGGACAGTCCCGTTCAAAACGGGACATATGGTCACTTTAGCTATAACCCGGCGACGGCTCCGTGGCGCAGTGGCTTAGCAATCAGTTGTTGCGCTGGGGGCCGCGGGTTCGAATCCCTCACGGAACAAGTATTTGTATGGCCTACAAATAATTGTTCCGGGTCTGGATGTTTGTCCTTGTGCAATTTATGTTTGTAAACTGCCTCCACGACACAGGAGCAAATCCTAGTGTGGGGGTAACGTTTTTTTACAATTGAAATTGAAAGATTGAACCCTTATACTTCTTGTTGATTTTTGTATTACCTTTATTAAAGTTACCCTTATGTATAAATAAATATAATTACGTATGTAGAAATAAAATTTATTTTCATCCTTATCAATCATTGGGGTGAGGATAATCTCTGCCAGCATAAATAATAAGCAGGCTAAGTTACAAGGTGCTCAGTTCAAAAATTTGTAGGTAGGTATGTTACTTTTCAATACGTGACACGTAAAAATTAACAATAATCAAAAACACATCTACGAAACATCCTATTTATTTATTTATTCTTTGTTGCACCAAATATTTGTACAAAAAGCGAGCTATCTATTTATTTACCTATAGTGAATAGGTAACTCATAATTTTCAATGCTTCATTTTTAATATATAATTAAATATAAAATTTCATAATTAGATAGTATATGAAAATACATAATTCTAATATAATGCAACTAATATACCGAATAAAAAAATTAAAATACATTTATCGTTGTACGCTGTGTGTATTTCCTTAAATTAGTTTATTAATGTTGAAAAAATAATACTACGTTCTTACCTACAATAGGTGGCGTCTTACATTGAAGCGAGCGGCGCGCCGCCGGCAAAATGCTCAAGGTCGTTCGCATGGAGTAGCCCCTTAAGAGGAGCTACTTATCTACTAATTTTATAGTGAAAATAATTATTTATCCTTGTAAAACAGCACGAAACAATTTGCACCTTGCCAAACCCCCTCAATCGGCTCCAAACAAAATGTTTCTTATATTTAAATGAATAAAAGAAATATTTTGTTTTTATACATTGAATTTGTAAATAAATGAAATATTGAAACATCGCAAAGGCACTGCAACTTTACGATCATTTTTTTTAGATGAATTTTTTTTTTCATACCAACTTGACCACTCTTATTTCAACAAATCGAATAGTCTTTTTAACAACGACCATGTGTCGTCCTTTCGTGCTCAGCTTAAGTAAGTGCATATACTTAGTCAGGTCATAAGTTCTGTCAAATACTTTTTATAAAAGTAATGATACACTTTTTGATAATTATATAGAAATTATATATGAAATGAAAGGTAATTTAATTTAGAATACAATTTTATTTACCTTATTTAAAATGCCCTCCCCTATTTTGAATACATGCCCTTAATCGACACGGCCAATCATCAATCGCAGCACGCACTAAATTCATATCTATTTCTGCCGCTGCTTTAGCCAAAGATGCTCGGAGAGATTCCAAATTCTGATGAAGTTTAGCGCAGACTTTCTCCTCGAAATGTTGCCATATCTTGTAATCCAGTTAAATCTGGACTAGAAGAGGGCCAGTCTTCATGTCCGATAAAGTCAATTCCACGGGCGGTCAACCAGTTTTGCGTGCTTCGTGCCCTATGAGCTGGTGCAGAGGCCTGTTGGAATATCCAATGTCTGTTTTTGAACATTGTTTGAGAAACAGGTTCCACTATGTTTGTTAGGACGGTATTTTGGTACACCTCGGCACTGGTTTTTACACCTTTTTCACAGAAAAACACCTCATTAACTGAGGTGTTTTTCTTGTACCTAAATATGAGACTCCAAGGCAAACCATGAGTGACGAAGGATAATGTCCTCGTTGAACTCTAGGAATACGCATGCTGGTTTTTTCACTGTTGTGAGCATACACGTTATCATTTTGTTTATTATAACTTTCTTCGATGTTAAAAATTTTTTCTTCCAAAAACAAAATTTGGCGGCATTTTTTTACCGTACCGCCGTATCGAAGCGCGGTATCTATCCAGCCTAATTTTTTTCAAATACTCGTTCAAAAATGTCCGGTCTTCTTACGATAAGCTCGTAGTCCTAGGTCTTCATTGATCACTCTTTTGACCGCGGTACTACTTGGGGCCCATCTGAAGAGCTAAGATTTTTTGTTTACGAACAGGATTTCGTTGGATTCGCGCCTTCACTGGTTTGATGATCACTGGTGTCCTAACTGTACGAGGTCCGCCGGTCCTCTTACGATCTTCGAAGCTTGAATCTTCAGTGAATCATTTGATAGTACGATAAGCAAAACGTAGGGTTATTTTCAATTTTTGTAGAATATTGAAAATCTCTTGGCGCGTAAAAATAGCGGTGCAACGCAACTGCTACTCTATATTCTTTCTTCGACCAGTCCATATTTGAAAATGAATGAAAATTATTAATGTCTTTTTTTTATTTTCGGCAAGCGCAAACGTTATATTTTTAAAATTGGTGAAGTTCATCTAGCCAGTATTCAAAAATTTTAGATAAGGTTTTGACAGAACTTATGACCCGACTAAGCATTATGTTATCACCCTTTTCATTATTTTGAAATCCATGTGTTTATGAGTACTTTAAATCTAAATTTTAATTCTTGTGAAATTCTCATAATCAGAGGCGGATTAAATGTCGATAGCGCACTAGGCTACTAGCACCACATCGACGCCCTTTTGGCGGTTATATTTGTAAGAAACTAAAATGTCGAGCTACAAGAAAAGCTTTAATCTCACTTCTGATGTAAGAAACTATTCCTACTTCTGATGTCAAAAACTATTCTCAAAATTATTTAAAACTAGCTGTTCCCCGCGACTTCGTTCGCGTGTTAGGGTTTTTATGTTTTTGCGCGGAACCCTAATTCTTTTTCTAAAATAAATGTAGCCTAAGTTACTCCTTATGAAATCAGCTATCAGCCAGTAAATGTCTTGTCAAAATCGATCTAGCCTTTTCAGAGATTAGCCGGAACAAACAGCAGACACACAGACAGACAAAAATTTTAAAAATTGTATTTTAGTTATAAGTACCGTATTTACTTTCATATGCATTTAGTAAAAAACTGTAATTTTGACATTACAAACAGACACTTCAATTTTATTTATTTGTATAGATGTAGACATTACATACCTACCTTATATTTATTATGTACATAGCGAGATCTGTAAATTAACCTATGTTCACAAAATAAACAGATTTGATTTGATTTGATTAAATAAAAGAACACTACTCGGTAACACACCCTGCTTACTATCAGAATAATTACATGACAACACCAAAGTATGCAAAAACCAACAGCATCACTACCCATCTCAATGTAACATAGGGCCAGCCTCTCAACAACACGATCTTCCTTGCCTACACTAGTAGAATACCCCAACGGGCACAGTAACGACAGTGAGACCCGTAAAATTACAGACTTGAAGCCTCTTAGTCGTTTGTGCGATACTTTATACTACTAAAACAAGTGGGAGATTAACCATTCTCCACCTTCATTTGTTCGTATTGCCTTTTATTTTTTTACCCTCATTCCCAACAATATAGTAAATTATAACTACGTATTTTGCAAATAAACTATGTTATAATATAGTTAAAAAGCCCGTCCTACCCTCCTACCCCCAAAACATAAAAGCTGTGTTAAATAAAAATCTACCCTGGGAGGGTACCAGCATCGATAATCCTAGAGAATCCCTCACTGAGTATTTATACCTGTCCATCTCATGGCTTTGCATAGACTACGGCGACGAGCACCCTCGCGTCTCTGGTTGCATTTATAAGTCCCACAGCGGTAATGCCAAGACAGACCTACTTATCGACCACGTTCAAATGGCTACAGATTCCGTGCTAGAAGAGTTCCCATCCGCAGAGATCGTGTTCCGAATGGCTTGGTTCTCGTGCTACCGATAATGCGGGGAGATCTGTTTACGACTTTGCCTTGGCATATGGTCTGACACAACTGGTCCCTTTGCCCACGCGGATTCCAGATGTGAATGATGCACATTTCCTGTTGAACGTTTTGCTGGACTCTTATCCGGACGGTTATCAGGTCTCCGTTGATGTCTCTCTTGGCTCTTTGTATCACTGCCTGATCCGGAGTACGGTGCCCATCACATGCTCATTACTGGCGCGATGTAGGCTGTGGCCGTGTGCGACTCTATAGGATGCGGGCATCCTACCCATGGGGGCGGATTTCCTTTTCGCTGGATGATCCCAACATCGCCGATGTGGTGCTTCAGGGGATGCAAGTTTTTAACCCGTCATCTGTAGTGCCCATCGGCGGCAGATCCCAGCCTTGGTTTGGTCGCTGCTGCAAAATCGCATAGCGGCAAAAGCAGGAGTGTTATAAGGCCTGGGCTGATACAAACTCAGCCAACATCGGAATCCTTGGCGTCGACATTTCGAGAGACGTACAGTTCCGCACTTACTTGGAAGGGAAGGCTAAACTGGCATCAAAAAAAGCTTGGTGTGTTTAGTAGATCAAGATGGTATTTCATGCCGGCCCACCGCTTGCAACTTTACAACGCATAGTTTCGGCCTCATATGGAAATGGAATACTATTCTCATATCTGGGCCGGCGCACCCCAGAATCATCTGTTCTTTCAACTTGACCGTAATCAACGGAGAGCGGCCCGAATCGTCGCTGATCAAGTTCTTTTCAATAGGCTTGCAAAGAGACGTTGCATCTCTATACATCTTCTACCGCATATACCACGGGGGGTGCTCAGAGAATTGTTTGGATTAATACCAAGCTGCTGAATTCCACCATGTTACACTGCGACAAAACTCGAAATTCCATCCTCATCAAATTGATGGTTATCGATCCACTACTGTGCGATTTACGCGGAATTTTCTGCCTTGCACGACCATACTGTGGAATTTACTGTCACCATCGGTTTTTCCGGACTGATACGACTTAGGGACTTTCAAGAAAAGAGCTCATTCCTTTCTAAAAGGCCGGGGACTCACCTGCAGTTCCCCTGGTGTTACGAATGTTCATAGGCGACGGTGATAACTTCCCCACGCGCCCCTCTGTAACCTTGCGCCCCTAGGCACATGCCTAGTTTCACTTAAGAATAATCCACCACTGCTCATATTATTGTTTTCTCCGTTCCTCCGAAATTCTTAAGTTATCCACGACTTTAGACCGTCCTGACTAGCAGGGAACGCTTTTGGATAAAACTAAGAACTCATCGAGCGATATTTACCCGCGTCTGCAACTGAAGAGGCACTGACATTTTATTTCAAAACTCATGATACTGCATCTTTGTGTGGGTTTATGCCCGTCGTGGAGGCGTGCGTGTGTCTGTGCGCGTGCGTCTGCTTCTGCGTGTGCGTGTGCATGTGTGTGTGTGCGTGTGTGTATGTGCGCTTATCGCTTACCCGTTCGTTGACAAGCGGGTTGCTGAGCGGGCGCGCGCGGTGCGGGCAGGGCGTGTAGGCGGCCAGCAGCACGAGGTTGGTACCGGGCACGGGCGTCGCCGCCAGCGGCCAGCGGCACGCGCTTGCCGGACGCCGCAGCGCCTCCATGGCCTTCCCTGTGCGCTATTTGTAGGTTTATAGCAGCGACAGTTATACCAGCTTTTTACTGACACACTGGCTTTTGTACAAAGGATAACAAACGACCGCGCAGTCCACATGATAGTAAGTGGATGCGATGTGAAGTGGATGGTTCATAAAAATCTACATCTATCCTCGATTAAGAATCACAATTCAGAATGCGTTGTTACTCCTGAGGACTAAGATAGAATGACTCATTTCCATTAAAAAAAGGCTTGTCTTTGCCGCACGTCAGATCCGCTTTTGTAGGATATGTTTTAATTTTTTTTATAGCAGAGGGGGCAAACGAGCATGCTCCCCACCTGATGGTAAGTGGCTACTACCGCCCATTAACAAACAATTAAAAAAACAACAAAAAACAAAAAAAAAGAACAATAAAAGTTTTTTAAATTTTTTGTCCCTAGCTTCTACCACAAACAACGTTAAGCACATCCCGGTCTGGACACTCATTCTATGTTCAAAATATTAATATTTATTTCTTTGTTATTAGTCAAACCCCCTTTACTATGTAGCACTAACAGAGTTCTTTGTCTTGGATTCCGCATGCATAGGATGCTGTATTTGCATATGAGTATTTATTTCTGATTATGTTCCAGTAGAGAAAGTTTGGTCTTTGAACGAAGAGGGCGGATCTCCCTGCCGGGCTTGATGTTCACACCTTGGAAATCAGACAACGCTCCGTGTGCTAGAACGGAGCTCGTTCTTAGTATGTAATGACTCTACATACGATTCGAAATATGTAGAGTCGTTTAGAAACTTCAAAGGTGTGACTCAAGCTTTGCTTGTTGCTCGATCCTTTTAAGCTTTTGAGGTGTAACAACAGCACCGGGATCAAAATGATGCTATAATTACAGGACATGAAGTATTCCATCGTGGTCTTGAGGTGTGATAAAGCCAACGCCAAATGAAAATGCTACAAAAATTATTATGTGCTAAAATAATGGCTGACCATCAGGTGAACCGGATTATCGTTTTTGATCTAATGTTATAAAAATCTCATTGTGAAGCGGCGTATAATGATTCTTTATTCCACCACACCCAACGTACACCCCCACACATACAGACGTAGTGACATCCTCGTAGGAATAGTCAGACTAGCTACCTAGGACTTCAAAACGTCGAGATCTGATGAACCCTCGATTTTCAAAACTGGGGTGAAACCACAATAACTTCATTGATAAAAACATGTGTGCAGTTTACAAGCGGTAGAAGTGAAATATTCAAAGTAAAATAAAAATATTTCATGGCAAATTAATTACTTAATATGATCATTTTCAACCACAAGTGCTGCATAAAATCTAACCTATACAATTAAATAAAATTGAAGTGTCTGTTTGTAATGGCAAAATTACAGCTTTTTACCAAATACATATGAAAGTATATACGGTACTAATAACAAAAATACAATTTTTAAAGTTTTTGTCTGTCTGTCTGTCCGTCTGTCTGTCTGTTTGTTCCGGCTAATCTCCGAAACGGCTGGACCGATTTTGACGGGATTTTCCTTGACAGATAGCTGATGTTACAAGGAGTAACTTAGGCTACTTTTATTTTATAAAAAGAATTAGAGTTCCGCGCAAAAAAATTAAAACCCCAAGTAACACGCGGGCGAAGTCGCGGGTAACACTAATACTAGATAAAAGCTTAATTTCATAGCAAGTAAATGTTACAATTACCTTATTCTTAGACGTAATTTTAGCGTTTCTTTAGTCATTTTATCGAATGATTGATTCTCAAAGTGGTACATAAGATATACGCTAGATGGCATAAGCACGAATAACATAGTATAAATCGGTTAGCTATGAAATCGTGGGTTGTTATGAATGAATTGGATATGATAATTTTATTCAATATGGTTAATTTTATGTATTTAATAAAAAAAATTAATTTTTAACTGTTTATTTTAACAATTAAAGTTCATATTAACCATCTTTAAAGCACGGCACAAGAGGAGACCGAAATGCATGTGATTCGAACCCGCAACCTTTCAAGTTCTCGGTCCGCACCCTGCCATTGGGCTACTGTCGCATACTACACTGTATTCTATCTCATTCTCTCGCAGGCTAAATCCTAACAGTTTGTTGTTGTCATGTTGAACAGGAACACTCTATAGCAATCATAAATTTCGCTCTGATTTTAGTAACGTCATAACAAAAGGATACACAGTGACCATTTTACCCAAAAAATCCAAATTGTTCAAGCGCTAGCTTACTAAAATCTAAAATTACCTGCAACTGATAGAAAGGTCTAGAACGATCGCAGGCGGCGAATCGAGTCCTGTTGACGAGCACGCGCGGGTCGTACAGACGTTCGTACTTCTCTCTCTCGTAGTCCTTCTGCAGGCGCCTACGTCTCTTCTCCTTCTCTGCTTCAGTTTCCGCTGTCACTGTGTTGCCTGAAGCAAAACGCTGAAATGTCTCGTTTCCAGTAAAAATGGTCTTCGTTTATCTACACTCACCATACGAAACACAGCAGTATTAGGCTGCCATATTACGCTGGTATTCTGTGAGAGCGTGGTCGTACCCTGGTAAAGTAGACCTATTCATGCTAGAACCATAATATAGCTGCAGTGTGGCTCTACCACGTGTAAAAAGAATCCTGCCGCCAAATAGCAGTGCTTCCAGCAGTTCCGGTATGAAGGGTATAGAGACCCAGTATAATTACAGAATGCAAGGCATTGCCTTGCTTATGAAAACAACATGAATACTATAAATAACATTTTTTTGAAGTTATACTTTTTTTGGGGCGTTTGGGGAAAATGAAGAGAGTGAATTTTTAAGATGCGCGCGCACAACGACACCTAAAAACGATACCATGAAGTGGTTACGATGCGCGCGCACACTGGCATCTAAAAGCGACAATTTCAGTGGGTAATTGCCCTCAAGTTTTTTTTGTTTTGTTACGCTAAAGAAGTACATATAACTTCCTACGTGCGTACATAAGTTCACACACACTTTTTTTTAATTTAAATTAAATTCATGTAATGTTGTTCATATTTATCCGGTTTTAGATTGCTTTATTAATTTTTATGATTTGGACTTAAAAACAATAGTTTTCTTTCAAAATTATTTTGTAATTATAATATATCTATAAAAATAATACTTACCAGTGTTCAGTATGAAAAGGACTGTCATAAGTTCTCTAGTGACGTGAAAAATAAGCGTTACCGACGACCATAAAGACCGTAGTATTGAGGCGATGATCTGAAAATATTTTATTTTTAATAATCACTTCAACCTATGTTCAACCTACTTAATTACTTTTTTATTTATTTTTTGAAAATGTTACTCCTATAGTAGGATTTTCTCCTGTATCGTGCAGGTAGTTTAGGTTAGTTTAGATATATTTCACAAGGATAAATATCAAGACTTGTTCGCTGCGGGATTCGATTCCGCGGCCCTCTGTGCTGCAACTTATTGCTAAGCTACTGCGTCACGGAGCCGTCATATTATATAATTAATTGAGTTGATAACATGTTTAAATCTACATACTTAGGTCTAAAGTCAAGAGGTGACAATGGTAGCTATAGATTTGTTAAGAGATTTCAACTCCATCTTCATAAATAAAAAAAAAATGGGAATTGTGGTAAAAAGCATTGATATCGTTAGTCAAGCTATTAAAAAAGTAATAAAAATTTTAATTTTTTTATAGAAATTGTATGAAAATAAAGTAAAGACGTCATAGCCTTGTAGTCGAATTGCCATTATATTTATATATTTTTGAATACTAAAAGATTACTATACATATTTTAAGATTGTACTAAAAGTAGCAAATTCAAGATATAAATGTGTGCAGTTCACATACGGTAGAATGGAAACCTTCAGACTTACTGACACTGCATTAGGTCCACGGAATATAAAAAGAACCTGTTTTTATATTCCGTGATTAGGTCCATAAACGTCACAAATTTTCTTTGGCTTGCGTCGCATTTTTCCCTATTTTGTAATAAAACTTCGGAATGTATTGAATTTCTTCGTTAATTCACTCATTTTGGCGGACAAAAAAACAATTGAAAAATGGCGGGAAAGTGTGTTTTACTTTTTATTTTTATTTTTCTTAATATCCTTTATGTATTCATATTAAAACTAGCCAGATACAGACAGTACAATCAAAGAGATTTTTCTTTAATTTTATACAAACAAAATACGAAGAAACTGTTTCGCAGACCTATTATTTATTAGTTGTCTACCAAATTAGTGACTTACTGGAGCAGCGGCATGTATTTCCTCATCTTGAGGCGGAAAACAAACGCCTTGATAATCATGTATCCAACGCAACTTAAATACGCTCGCATTAAGGAGCGCTGACATAGCAGCTGGATGCAGGTTGGCGAGGTGTTCTCTTAGTGGTTCGGTTTCAATGTCATCATCCAAGTCCTCCCGTACCTTTGCTACAACCCAACCTTCGTCGTCGATTAGAACGCAGGACCAATCCTTATTATCACAGCGCGGTTCACATTTGCTCTCGTCTTCTTCAGTACACTATAATTTAATTATTTTATATAGATTTGAAAATTATGCGTTTTATATTGAAATGTTGGAAGGTGTTAAATGAAAAGGAGAAGTCTTGCTCAGTTTAAGACTTTAATTACTCTTATTGTACCTTTACACTAATATATATATATATATATACCCTACGAATATATATATATATATATATATTTTCGTAGGGGCTACACTACACCTCCCACCGACAAAATAATAAAAAATAATGCGTTGAATTTTTTTATCTATCCTTCAAATTATACTAAACGTAATAAATGAATGTCTTAATGAAAACTATACTATAAAGCATATTTAGATTTAGCAGGGCATATTTTGTTTGTATACGTGGTAGAGCCATGCTGCAGCTATATTAGTAGTATAGTTGTAGCACGTACTGGTCGGTTCGACCAAAGAAGGACCACGCTCTCACAGAATACCAGCGTAAAATAGTAGATTAACATTGTTGTGATTCGTATGCTGAGTGTAGATAACCGGAGACCCTTTTTACTGGAAAAGAGGCATTCCATCTTGGTCCTCACGGGTGACAACGCATCTGCATTTTGATTCTTTATTGAGGATAGAGTGTAGATGTCTATGGGTCACAGCAACCACTTACCATCAGGTGGACTGTGTGCTCGTTTGTCACCTATGAAAAAAAAGATACTCAAGCATAGTCTTAACGGCGAATCTACTCGATCGGCTCCATATCATCCCGTGGGTGTCGTAAGAGACAACAGAGGAAAATTGATCCAGGAGATGGGTAGTAGCTTCTTTATGAGAACAGGACAGAACAGAATAATATGAAACTGCGGTTGCCAACCCATCCGACAAGTGTGGCGATTGTTTTCTACAAACTTCAAAAAGGAGACGGTACTCAATTCGACTGTATGTTCTTTTTTTATTTGTGTTACCTCATAACTTTTTCCTGGGTGAACTGATTTCGATGATTCTTTTTTATTTGAAAGCTGGTGCTTCTCACGTGCTTCCATATAAATTTGATTAAGGTTTGACCAACAATTTTTGAGTTATTCTTAATAATTTATATTGAAGTCGGTTGTACAAATTTTTTATTTTTTAATTATATTTATAGAGTAAGGTACGTCCGACGAAAATGATGGTGCGACCGTGCGTTCAAACATAATCATATCTGCGGAATGTCCTATTGAAGGTTGTGCGATCATGCGATGCGACCGAATTGTCCAATTTTCGTCGTGCGATTATCGACGCATTGTATAGATCGGACTATTGTCCGATCAAACATACTAATCAGTACTGAATTTCCTAATGGCGCTCGCGCGACCAAGGCGCGGAGGCAAAGGAAGCGGTTTTCGTAAAAATCTTCTTCGTTTTGCCGTACATCGATCGCTATAATATAGTTGAAGCACAAATGGATCGAGCCGATACATTTGTGCTTCAACTATATTATAGCTGCGATAAGGCTCTACCACGTATAAAATGACTACGAAATACATCTCCCCAATGAGTGGACTTGTGATGGGCTGTAGTGATGAGCATAGATTTTGATCGTGAACTAATAGGAATTACATTAATACTTACATGTATATTAGTTATGGTTTTGAGAAGGTCATCAAGATGCCTCGGATAGAAGTGGAAACCGGCGACGCCAATCATGCCCTTATTGGAATACTCCAGGACTCTCGCCGCTGTCAGCCAAATCTTGTGCTCGCTTATCTATATGAAATAATTCTCTTAAAACAACGATGAACAATTTCAGTGATGACAGCTGGGTCGAACTTGTATTGTTTAGTTACAATGAAATTTAGGCTTGGCCTTGACCTAGGCTTTTGAAAGTTCCGTGCTTGAGGCGCGGTGGCTAAGCATTGAGTTGCTGCGCTAAGGGTGGGTTCGAATCCAGTACGAGACACGTATTTGTGTGGGTACCTACAAATAATTGTTCCGGCTCTGGATGTTTGTCCTTGTGCAATATGTGTGTAAACTGCCTCCACGATACAGGAGAAAATATGGAAAAATTCCATGAAATTGATTTTATTTGTGCTATATTTTTTGACAGTCATGAAATTGCTTGTGGTAAAGCATTAAACCTTTAAATAGCATCTCGTTCTCCATTTTCCTTTGTTTACTGCTGGATATAGAACTTATCGATATTTTATACAATGCATTTCTTAAAAGATTTTCCCCGTACTCAACATTCTGTACTGGCGAGTTGCTGAGCATAGCATAGCATAGCAGTTACTACGGCATTTTTTTATAGGATATAGCAGCAGCATAGATAACGTATCTACATTTTTATTTGTAATAAAGCATAGATGTAGATGCCTATGGGCCGCAGCAACCACTTACCATCAGGTGGACTGTGTGCTTGTTTGTCACCCTTATCCTATAAAAAAAGCTTTTAATTCAAGAAGTCGTGAGCGGGTTCGAATCCGAATTTTGACTACAGTCGCGAGTCACTCCTAATACAAGCACTTTAAGCTTACTTGAAATGGTGAAGTGGAGTATTTTACACAAATGTTAATAAGTAGTAGATATTTAATTTTACTATTAGGTCAGCATCTAGTTTGACGCGCATCTCTATTAAAAGCGCGAGAAAATCTCTGAGCGAATGTTGTGAATTGCGTGAATACACGGCAAGATTTGCAGGCGAATATAGAGCCAGCATTAAAGTAATCAATACTAATGAAACATCTTCCTATAAGCAGTCGTGTACTATCAGACTTATCAGTTAGTAGTAGAGTGAATGATTCCTTTTACTCTATCTTTCTAGTCTTTAGGAAATACGCCTGCATCTCCCCGTATTTCGCCGGATGTAGCAGAGAGCCCACGCCTAAGTTTATCTCGCGGTGGACATTTAAAAGTAGCTACACTAGCCCTCCCGGATCCAAGCAGAGGATTTTGGTCTATGGTTGCGCTGCTGACATCACTGGATATTACGCTGCCTTTCTAAAATCTACATTTATCTTCGAATAACAATTCTTTTTATCTTAAATTGTAAACAACGTTGCCTTCACATTAGGATTTTTTCTTGTATCGTAAAGACTTAGATCGATAATCATCTTTGTACACGCACCTAGTTGCCCAGACTAAGGTCGACTATACAGGGGCCCATACAGCTGTAGATTCGACAGACAACTAAGGACGGGGCCCAAATGCTTATGGATATTTAATATATATGAATTAGGTACTTAATGCGACTTACCTGGTTCAGAAGCGAAGACGGACCACAAGACTCGTTCAGGCGTTAGGTGTAGTGAATGTAAGTAGTGTGTGAGAAGTGTATATATGTTTAACCTGAATCAGCCCTTTTTAATCAGCAGCAACCCTGACTCCAGCACCGCCACCCTATGTGGTATCCTCCAGCGGCGTCACCAATGGACAATTTCTTTCTTCAATTCACTATGTCAGTCTATCAACTTTATTGTACATTTAACTAACTTCAAAACTCAACTAAATCCCGTTAATTATAATCAAAAACGTAACACGCGGCACGACTGATGACTGGTGGGTCAAAGTTCACTTCCTTTCACTCAGCAACAAATTATTTCGAGAACCGAACGCGACCTTCTAAGACAGTGATCACGCGGCTCGAGTAGACTCACTGCAATACTTAGACAACCTAATCCGAGGCGGTCTTCACGAAACACAATTTAAGTAGCGAAGTAACGCGCACAAATATTGAAAATCTAGACCATAAACCAAAACTGGTCGCACAAAATCGCTGCCACGGTCGCCACAAATACGTTACGTTGCGACGGCGCCGCTGCACTCAAGCTATTGTTTTCGCCCACGAGCGCCAAACGCTGGGAAGCTGCATACCGATGCCCCCTCCCCGCGACACGCGTAACACCTAACACCATCGGGCGCTTCGCTAAATCGAATGCGATTGGATGCCGTCTCAAATTACCATTTTTGGGCCTAAACAATCTCGATACGGTACAATTATTTGTAGGTCATAAAAATAGAGCCGCCAAAAATCTGAGGACTAAGATAGAATGTTTCCTTATTGTTACGAGTAAAAATAGTCTGCGGTTCTCGTCGCTCACTGAGCAAAACAGCAGCTCTGTTCTCCTGTTTTACGATGGTATACTGTGAGAACGTAGCTCTTTTTCGAACGAGCTGATCCGTTCGTGATGCAGCTACAATATAGCTGCAGCGTGGGTCTTCGTAGTGAGTCAAAGACTTCTATGTAATCTACTAGATCGGCAATTCAGAATAAAAATTGTGTCTCATCTGTGGATGCATTTGCAGTTGTATTTTCATGGCAAATACGAAATGAAGTTACTTTATTATCTATTCTATACAAATAAATGAAATTGAAGTTAATTAATAGAATCAGGCGTCACTTTGCAAAAGTCCATTATATTAAAGTTGGTAAAAAATTAGTGACTGTTAAGTCACCGATTAGCGGTCAGCCACCGCAGAGTCTAGATCACATGAAGATGTCTCGTGTAGAGGCGAAACACGTGTCGTATCAAAGTCGGTGGTGTATCTTTCCTAGGGTAGTGGTGTTGGGAGTAGTGTAGTAGAGTAGAGTAGTAGAGTAGTGACGGTGATAGTGCACGCAATTGAGGGAGGGCGGGAGGTGCTCTTCAAACGATGTAAGACACATCATTTTATTTTATCGAGCGGATGTGCGCGAAGTAATTTTTTTACCGACTTTAATAAAATTGAAGTGTCTGTTTGTCAAAATAACAGCTTTTTACTAAACGCATAGGAAATTATATACGGTAATTATATCAAAAATACAATTTTTTAATTTTTTTGTTTGTCTGTCTGTCTGTTTGCTCCGGCTAATCTCCGAAAAGGCTGGACCGATTTTGACGGGTCTTTCCCTGGCAGATAGCTGATGCTATTATGAAGTAAGTTTCATTTTAGAAAAATAATTGGGATTCTGCGCAAAAAAATAAACCCTAAATTACACAATAACAACAACATCTAGTCAGAAATAAAGTTAAAATTACGTTGACAAAGCATAAATAATGACAAAGAACTAATCTTCTCGCCCGCTCGCAGTTGACTAAAGAAGTTATGGAGAATTGACTATAACTTAGTGCGCAATGTATACCGTACCGTAGTGTCCGTCTAGTAATATATATATATATATATATATATATATATATATATATATATATATATATATATATATATATATAGGTCTTTGTGGGAGGCCTTTTTAATAGAATATTGAGCAACGAACACAGATCCACCTTATGGAAAGTGGATGCTGTGGCGTATAGAAATTTACACTTATCTTATAGAATATATAGAATAAAATGCAGATGCGTTGTCAGCCCTGAGGACTGAGTTGGAATGCCTCGTTTCCAGTAAAAAGAGTCTACGGTTTTCTACACTCATCATACAACACAGCAGCGTCAATTTGTCGATTAATTTATACGCGTGCTCACTTTTGGTATGGGCGCGTCGCTGTTGCGAAGTCGGCGGATCGGTGCAACCGGGGCGTGGATAAGCAGTGAAGGCGCGGCGGCCGCGGCACGTACGAACCAGGCTTCGGTGGCGCCCCGCGACCACAGCCCTCCCGGCGGAGGTAATGCGTGAGGACTAGTCGCCTCGTAGTACTGCCAGCGCGAGAAGCCGCTCTCTGATGAAAATTGTACATTCTACAATTTCCTATCATACTAGATATTTGTTATCATATTTAAGAGCGCAAAATAGTGTGTAACACACTATTTTCTGTATCCCGCGGACAACTTGCGGTTTTTCGAAATACGGCTAGCCGAAATCGCAACCGCAACTGCTGTTATTGTATTAGTAATATTAGTAGATATAGATTAAGATCTTCATATAATTTCAATGCGAATAAAAATAACTTTTACATGAGTATATTATCTTTGCTTGCGGTCAAGTGCTGGCCGCAATGCGGGTAGCCGCATAGTGTCAAAAATGCTAGGCCTTTTTTCTGGCTAAAAATGTAAAAATGAATACTTGCAACTTGTAAACAACTTCAGACAAAGAAAGTCACAAATGGATTGTCTTTCCTGAAACCGAAGAAATATTTCAAAGCCCGTTATTGTACTTACTTTCTTACATATGGATAGAATACATTAGTGTTTGCTTAGCATACATACACATATATAATCACGCCTCTTTCCCGTAGGGGTAGGCAGAGACCACTTCTTTTCACTTGCTACGATACTTACATACTTGTTTCGCTTCGTCCACTTTCATTATTCTCTTCATACATGCTCTACGGTTTAGGGTACTCTTAACCTGGCCTTTTTTCAAGACGTCCCTGATATGGTCTTGAAATGTCCGCCTAGGTCTACCCCTTCCAACACTTTCATTCACACTCGCCTTATATACTTTTTTCGTCAATCGTTCTTCATTCATTCTCTCGACATGGCCAAACCATCTCAGCATACCGTTCTAAGTTTTTGTCACTACACCTTCTTTCATACCACAACGTTTCCTTATCTCACTATTTCTTATCTTATCACTCACTTTAGCTCCTATCATACTTCTTAACGCTCTCATCTCAACTGCATTTATTCTGCTTTCATGTTTCTTCTGCCATACCCAACTTTCACTTCCGTACATGAGTGTCGGAACCAACACCCCCTCATGCACAGCTAAATGAGCCTTGTTAGACACCTTCCGACTGTTCATAAAGGAGTGCAAAGCTCCATTCACCACGTTTCCTGCATTTACTCTTCTTTCGATATCACTCTCACACTCTCCATCTCTTGTAAACTTTGAACCCAGATACACAAACTCTTTCACCTGTTCAATTTGTTCATCTCCAATCACGATATCGCAGTCTGTCATTCTCACCACTCTATCATAGGCCTTTTCTAGATCCATGAATGCGTAATAAACCTTCTTGTTTTTATCCAAACACTTTTCAGCTATGCATCGCAAGGGAAAGACATGATCCGTACATCCCATTCCCTTTCTGAATCCCGCTTGTGCATCACATACTTTTTCGTCTGTTTCATTCACAACCCTTTCAATCAACATTTTCGCATACAATTTACCGACGACGCTGAGAAGGCTTATACTGCGGTAAGTTATGCAGTCCTGCCGTAACCCTTTTCCCTTATACAATGGCACGATTACGGCTTTGCACCAGTCTCCCGGTACTTGCCCATTTCGCCAGCATAAATTGAAAAGGCGGTACAGCTGACTGACTAGCCACTATGCCCTGTCCAGCCCTCAGCATCTCGACGGTAATCCTGTCATACCCTGCAGCCTTACCTAATCTCATACTTTTCAACGCTTTCACTATTTCATCCATGCTTATCTTACTTTTATCAACATTTATATTAATTTCCATGGAAGGTGCCGGATGCTGTACCTGCACTCCCTCTCTTTCAAACAAACTTTCAAAATATTCTTTCCATCTTCTTAACACACATTCCATCCCCCTTTTATAATGCTCCCATCTTGACTCCTGATTGTACTCAGCTCCGAGGTAGAAGTTTTTCCTCTGGCTGTTTTGATGGATTTCCAGAAAAACTTAATGTTTGACTGGAAATCTTCAGTGAGCCTCCTATCGAAATCATCTCTTCTTCTTCTTTCTAGACACAACTTCTTTTGCTGTTGTTTTCAATCTTTTATACTTCGTTCTTGCTTCCTTTATCTCGTCATCCGTTGCCTAGCTTTTGTTGCTAACCAATCCAACCACGCTTTCTTCTTTTCTTGCACAACCTTTGTACACCAAACTTTGCACATCTTTATCCATCCACACGTTATAGTTCTTTCTTCTTTTAGCTACCCCACATACCTCAATAGCAACATTCACGATCTCTTTCTTAAATGTCTCCCACAAATCTTCAATCACACCTATCTCTTCTATGCCTTTAAAAACTATCTTTCAGTTTCTCTACATACTCGTCTTTCTTTTCTTTTTCTTGTAGATTTTCCACTTTTACTCTGTCCAGAACACTCGTAGGCTCGGCCCCTCGGTGTCGCCACCGTTTAAAGAGGCCACGCATTCAGGCTATGACCAGGAAGTGTTCTGTGTCTAGGCCTACACCGCGGTATGCCCGAGTGTCTAGCACTTTCTTCCTCAGTCTTTCATCCACAATTACAAAATCTAAAATACTTCTAGACTCACCCTCATCTCTTGTATACAAATGGATCTTTTTGTGATCAAACATTGTGTTGGCCACGCACAGATTCCATTCCAAGCATACTTCAAGCAGGCTTCTCCCATTGTCATTCACTATCTCGTCCCCAAACGTATCCAGAACTCCTTCATACCCATCACGCTTTACTCCAACCCATCCATTAAAGTCCCCTAACATCACGATCCGTTCATTTTCTCCGCATTTATTCAAGACCTCTCTCATGCTATCTCAAAATTCCTCTCTCTCTTGTTGGGATTTTAATGACCCACCTCCACGCAGATCCGTCGGTGCATAGACCCCAAGGATAAACAAGCAAGTGAGTCCGACTTTGAACCAGAATCCAGAGGAGTCTTGGGCTTACACATTCATGCTCCATCACACATTCAACCATTCGAGATGAAAGAATCACACCAACTCCCTATATGCTGTGTAGGGGCCATGAACTGTGGTGTCACATCCTTTTCTCTTGGTTCACGCACAGAATATCAATGCATCGTTCATCCATCATCTGACATACTTCATCTACCTTACCATCCATTCCTCCTCTTACATTCAACGTAGCGAAGCGGCTCTCCTTGAGTCGCTTTTCGTCCTCACGAGAAACGAGATGTGATGGGTGGCGAACCCACATCGCCGCCATGTTGGTTAGTTAAATTATTTTTACGATTATCCATTGCGTTCCCACGAATAGCGAGGGATAGGTTTGTCCCCCCCAGCAGAGCCAGAGCCAGAGCTTAGCAGCATAGGTAAAAGTTCTAACACCTACAGACTGGAGTAAAGTTTTTATCGTAGCGGTGAATGTATCTATGCTCGGGCGCTCTTCATGAATAGCAGCAGCCGCCGTAAAATTTGTAAGGCAGGCCAATAAAGGATAAAATGTTAGGTAGCTACGCGTAAAAATTATGTTACGACATTTGGTTAGTTTTTATACTTGATTAAAGTTTTTATTCACTTAAAAATAACCTAAAACAACAACATCTGACGTTTGAAGGACTAGTGAGACAGTTGTGCTTCTTGGTTCTCAGAGATAACAATAGAATATACCTATAAATGTCTCTGTGAGGAATAGGTTGCAGTATATTTGCTATGTCAGGAACTGTCCATGAGCTGCAGACAGAATGCGAGCTAATTATTTACTAAAATATCAAAGTGTAAAAAAAAATCTTAATTTTACCACTTGTAAAGAAGGCGATCACAGAACCGAGCTGACATGTGGAACAGTCTTGATATTCGTCAATTTCTGACCACTGCGCCGTAGCTATCGCTTCCATGGATATCCTCGTCATTAACTCTTCGTTACCTGTTATGATCAGAATATTATTAATTCAGTTTATGACCCGGCTCGGTCAAAAACGCCGAAATGAGCGTTTGATAATCTTTGTAATATCAAACGATAGAACCGAATATGTATGTCCGGCACATGTTATAAAAATTTCTGCAGAAAATTTCTTCGTGTGTAAAAGCTTTTGAATATTATACACAATAATAATAGTTGGTTTTCATACACCATGGAACCTTTCGATAACCATCACAAAACACATTTTTTACATAATAAAACACTTTAAATATATTTTTGTTAACCACACACACTAACTTGAAAATATGTTTGTGTTAGGAGCGATTTACGATAGACAGCAGCGGATTCGAACTGATGTTATTTTAAATTCTCTCTTTCTGCTCATCCTTATCACAAAAAGAAATCTACTGATAATTAATCTCAGGTTGAAAATAGAGTCTGTTTAAATATAGAATTCCCGTGGAAATTAAGCGAACTAAAATGTTGATGATGAGTATCGAATTTTATAGCAAAAATGTCAAATTTCGTGAAGACAGTGCTGTTGCGGTTACTTCTTTTTAAAAAAAGGTATCATCTTAAACTATAGCTTAAGCCCGAGGCTATTAAAAATTGTGCGTGTAATTGTGTACACACGTACGAAGTTAAACTTCTTTACGACATATCATACTTCTTTAATTCTATTACTCTTGCAACCCCAGTGGTAAAAAGTTACAAGAAAACGTGACCATTTTGATTTTTAATATAGTGAGTGAGAGTAATATGGTCATCTGGTTAATATGGTCACTTTCTTATAACTCAATAACTACAGCCTTGTTTGCATAGATGGCTCTGTAATACGATAACTGTTCATCAGTCAATCAAATAATAAAAAGTCAAATGAGCGCTGCTTTATCAAGCCATTTTGACAGTTGACATTATAGTAAATATTTTAATATAATTTAGTCATTGAGTTATATGTACTACGTACTAGAGAAGCCATTCCAAACAAAAATTGTGTCCTACTCTATGTCTTCGCGCATGCGCGGGAGTAGTAGTCGCGCATGCGCGAAGACTTTAATATAAAATAAGATATTAATATAAAATAAATATAATAATTTAATATAAAATATCTTAATTTAATCTAAACAAACATATTTCTAAATAAAATGTAATAATAATTATTTTATAGAATTCACAAATCTTCAATTTACACAATATTTAGTTTGTATGGATTGCACTACAGTTCAGTTGAACATAGTCAATGTTCGGAATGGCTTCTCTAGTACGTAGTACATATAACTCAATGATTTTAGTCAAAGACATTTAAGTAGTATAGTATACTTACCTATAGATTTAAATCTTTTTGATTTTAGTATTGTGTAGTGTAATAAGTTTTTTTAAGTTGATTTTTTCGAAGTGTTCCTATTTATTACCAAAGGTTTTTTTGTTATTTTATTCCTAATATAATAGTTATAGTATATACGACTTTGTGTTTTTGTCTCTGCCCTCCTCTTAGTTTTAGTTTTATAGGGCGGCAAAGCTCAAGGTGACCATATTACCATCACGTACCTTGCCGTACCTACTAAATTTCTCCACCACGTCGATAAAGAAGTATCGCTTCAAAAATCTCGTTTATTAATGTAATGCAACAGGTTTATAGTAAAATAAGAGTTAAAAGTTAAGTTACAGATTTATACGTCCCATTGCTAGGCCTTAGCCTCCTCTTATTTCGGAACGGGTTATGAACTAAAACCTTATCAGAAATGAATTATAACTTATGGAGCAATTAGTCCGCACATTGCTCCAATGCGGGCTGGCGGACTTCGCAAGTCCTCGAAATGTTTTATTTCGTACGCATACAGGTTTCCTCATGATGTTTTCCTTCACCGCCGAGTATGTGCAAATCGGCACTTAAAATTGCAATTAACAATTTCATTGGTGGCGGCGGAAATCGAACGCGTACTGTGAAATTTCCGGCGAGTGTTTAGCATCTGAACGGCCAAGGCTCAGCTTATAATATACAATATTTATCTAAAGTAATCAAAATATTAAGTGGACTTACAGTAATCAAAATATTAAGTGGACTTACAGTAATCAAAATATTAAGTGGACTTACACTGATAAGGCAATTCTTGTAATGTTGGTGGAATCGGGGAGAAGATGTGCTTAAGATTTTGCATTTGGAAGTGTGCTTCATTTTTTCGTCGCTTTATGAAATAGAGTATTTCGTCTTTTTGTGTATCGAAATGAGGTTCCACATGACGACAGTAAAGCCTATGATAATATGACAAATTTTAAAATTTAAAAATTAAAAATTTTGAAATATTTGTTGCATACATAATAATAAAATACACAGTGTGATTGAAAAAAAATGAAAAATGTTTTATTAGCAGTAAGAAAAATAATACAATAGGTAATATCTGTTGGTTTCCTCACTAGGCAAGCCTGTATCGAAGAAACCTGAGACCATAGTTCATTAAGCGCTATTTTATACACCTTATCAGACAGATTGTATTACACAAAACAACAATAACAGAACTGCTTATTGCTTTAAATCTTTGAACATAAAAAGAAAGAAAACTATGAAAACAAAGGTAATCTATATAAAACTGAAATGTATTAACTATGTGCATTAAAAAAAAATTAAAACAATAACAAAAATTATCTAATAATTTTACAAATACCATCAATTAGTAAAAGCCAGTTTTTAGCAATTCTTCTGTTTCCTTATGTGATAGCTTCTTTGGTGTGTTTGTCTACGACATCTGTGATGTATTTTGTAAAGATTTCATTAGCTATATTAACGTAGAGAACTGGAGACCTATTTAACTGGAAAAGGGGCATTCTATCTTAGTCCTCACGGCTGACAACGCATCTGTATTTTAATTCGCAAACGAAGATAGATGTAGATGACTATGAGCCACAGCAACCACTTACCATCTGGTGGACTGTGTGCTCGTTTGTCACCCTTATTCTATAAAAAATATGCTATCACGTAGAGAAGAATTATAATAAATCTAATGTAGAATTTTTAAATTATTTCTTGTCTTTAGTTACCAGTCCGGATGCACAGAAAAATCTGTTTCAGACATCGTCAAATAGGCTTCCTTAGCGAGTTGTTGGGTAAAATGCCTTGCATCAGGTACTGCGCGACGGCCTTCCTTCTTTGGAAGCACCACCACCGCCGTGTAATGATCCAGTATACGCTTCCAGTGGTACTCCCGCATTTCTAATATCCCTCGCATCCCGTCTTCATATATGTATTTGCTGTGCATTGTTTTGTTTCCTTCGGGATAGTCGATAATCAACGATTTGCGGAACTAAAAAGAAATTATTACTTAGGATCTATATATATATATATATATATATATATATATATACTATAACAAACATTTTAACTACATAACTATTACGTCCTATAAAGTGAAATATATAATCACGTTTTAATTCTATGGAATTTTATTTAGAATTCAAGAAAAATATTTCGGGGATATGCCGTCACCCAGTACTGCAGTTCTCTGTAGTTGGATAGGTTTCGTACCCTGGGTTCTATGAGTTCTCTATCTCGTATATTCGAATAGATATTGTCGTTCGTAGCCTTATTTAAAACGTCAGCCAAGGAGCCTATAATCACCACGTTTGTTGTTCACATCTCATCTTAAGTAAAGTTAAGTATTTTTACAACACTGTAAAAATACTTTTCAGTACTTTGACATTACAAGAACGAGTCATTTTATTGTACTGTATACCTACATATTTTATTAAAAAAATATTAAAAACATTACCAAGGACATTATCAGTAAATGATAATGTATCAGTCATATTCACATCTATCGATAACAGTAATTAATAAGTAATAAAACAATACATATAAGCACTGATTTACAAATAAACTATCGCTTTTACTTGTTCTATGTAATATTTATGTGTCGGTTACTTTTTGAAATAGAGTATTTCGTCTTTTTGTGTATCGAAATGAGATTCCACATGACGACAGACAGACAACCTCATTTCGATACATGCATATTACATGCATAGCTCTACCATATTTGAAGCATAGATTTAATACAAAATAATTTAAAAGATTATTATTAGTACATTTGGTGTATTAATATGTAGCTAAATAACTAGCTTCAGCCACAGAATATAATGGTATTACGTACTTCAGCCTGGGATTCCTCTTCCATGGAAATAGGGATAGTTTAATATTAATTTTCGAGCCGTAAGTTTTATTCTTGGTAAGAATCATCCAATGTCTAATCCAATACTTACAGAGTCTATTTGTGTGCCAAATTTCATGCAAATCTATTTAGCTATGTATTTTGATTGAGTAACAAGCATCCAAACATCTTAATTTTTTTTTTAAATATTATACAGAAATTAGGCTAGACTCGACTAGACTAGACTAGATCGGATAGACTATGAGCTCGTTTGTTTCTTGTAAAAAGAAAATTTTAAGCAGTATATTATAATATAGTATATTAGGCCTGGTCAACATTTGATCATATTGGTGTATCGTATCTCCATCGCGTGGCGTAGACGTGTATCTCATTGCCAGTTTGGACGCAAAATTATACGCGATCATTTGATTCACCGTTGTGATACCATATCTAATACGCCAAGTTTCGCACAAAACCTCGTATTTGACCCACTTCGTATCGGATAAACGTATCGTGAATTGGTGATGGACTTATTTTGATATCTACTACTATCACGATACGCGAATGCGACACGATACCTGCTACGATACGTCCCATCTATAGTCGGCTTTTATCCGATTACCATAGGGGACAAAGGGATGAATTTTAAATAATTCACATTGTGGTGGCCGACGCATTGGTTTTGTTACGATATTTATTTTGGTATATTTGTTATTTTGCAACACTGAATATAACGGTATATAGGTCTTTGAGAGAAAAAGTTATCCCATATCAAACGACTGACAAAACTATGGCCGCTATACAGTCTTGAAAATTTTGGATATGGAAAAGGTACGAGGACATTTTGACACGATACGGCTAGTTATACGACGTGGCCAAATGGGCGTACATACTTAAGATACAAACTAAGTACTCGATACGATACGCTGATCAAGATAATCATATGTGGATCCGGCTTTAGGTGCTGTATAACAGTTACTTGTAAAATATCTATTTTATATAATATAGCAAAATACAAATCCATTTGCACATCACCTCCACCCATTCCTTAGGATACTCTCGTGGAAAGTGGTCAGCTGCCGCTTGCTCCAGGTCTAAAAAGTCTACTGTGCGGTATCCGGGTTTAAGTATGTCACCATCAAACTGTTGATAGAATCAGTGTTAATATTTTACTTTTTTGTTTTAATATCTAACAAAGATTTGGATTTAACAATGGTTAATTTCGGATTTTATATAACACGTAACATTAAGCACGTATTGATGATATTTTTATTCTTAATTTAACAAAAAATTTAATTTATTTCTGTATAGTATAAAACAAAGTCGCTTTCTACTGTCTGTACGCTTAGATCTTTTAAACTACGCAACCAGTTTTGATGCAAATTTCATCAATAAACAGATTAATTTAAGAGAAAAGTTTATATATATATATATACACACACATATATATATATATATATATATATATATATATATATATATATATAACACATGCATATTACCTATTTTTTTTATCGGATAGGGTGACAAACGAGCACACAGTCCACCTGATGGTAAGTGGTTGCTGTGGCCCATAGACATCTACATCTATCCTCGTTTGCGAATCAAAGTACGGATTGCCTGCCACCCGTGAGGACTAAGATGGAATGCCTCTTTTCTAGTTAAATGGGTCTCCGGTTCTCTACACTCACCATACGAAACACAGCAGTTTGAAGCTGCTATTTTACGCTGGTATTCTGTGAGAACGTGGTCCTTCCCCGGTCGAGCCAACCCATTCGTGCTACAACTATACTAGTAGTATAGCTGCAGCATGGCTCTACCACGTTAAAGTTATGTAATTCTTCTGTCCGTGTGTATGTGACTGAACTCCTCCTAAACGGCTGGACTGACTTTGATGAAATTTTGTGTGTGTGATTAAGTTGATGAGAGAATGGTTTAGATTCAAAATTGATACCGGTAGGTGATGTTGTTGTCGAGGATCCAGAAATCAACCGTTAAAGAAATACCGAAACCGAAAGTTAAAGAAGAGCAGTGTCTCCTGACACAGGCTATGTTAAGCTTAAAAGACGACACCTGCCACTATAAGTAGATAAGGTGATATTTATATAGAAATAATAATATGTTCTATATTTACTTTTTACTTAAGTACTTTTATAATAATTTGTTCAACAACTTCCCACAATTTGTAATCCATCACATTGTGAAGTTTTGGGAAATTTCAACAACAGCTTAAGCCGACAAACAGTGGATGACGACATTATCTTAGACACCTAAGCGATCCGATTAATAAACTAGAGGTTTATATTAACATTAGAGCATATTTCGTCGTTTCAATTAAGTTCACACAATAAACAAATTTGCATAACTTTTACGTGATAAAGTCTTCTTTAAACGATTTTATGTAAACGATTAAACAGTGACAACCTGCAAGCAGTCGAGTTCCCACCAAAACTCCTTTGAACAACTTTGAATTAAAAAGAAGATCTTTTTAAGTTCTAACATTATTTACGGCCAGAATAGTTTTATAAGGATGGGCATTAAAATGAGGATTTCGAACGAATGAGAATTTAAAGCTACTGGTAGCAACATGGTTGAAATCTATCAGTGGTACTACATTACACTCAATGATATAAATGTCTACTATGACGGGTGATATCGCGGATGGATTATTAAAAGATTTCTTTTAACTATCTTGATAATACGCTTGAAAAATACTTACTGCAGGTTTAATGTTGTCGTGTAATACAACGTTACCGCGATGATCGAGTAAAATAAAAAATCCACCCGGCCCCAGCTGAAAGAACACAGTGGTTAGTATAATGCCTTCTTTTAATATATCTGTGACATGAAATGGCGGTGTAAGAATATCCACTACCCCATATCATCCCGTGGGTGTCGCAAGAGGCGACAGAAGGAAACAAATCAGGAGATGGGCAGCAGCGTCTACCTAATAACGACTAAATACAAAAAAAACTGCGATTGCCAACCCGCTTGCCAAGCGTGGCAACTATGGCAAATAACCTCCTACGAGGCAATCTATGGGGGGAGGCTTGTGTTCAACAGTGAACTTTAATAGGTTGTAACGCGATACATTGGTGGCATACGAGAATCCATCACTCCATTTCGCCCGGTAAGTTTCGAAAAAAGGCATCTAATGGAAATGGTAAGAAAATCTTATGAATTGCGATAGATCGCGATATAATCATCTCATTTACGTCAGACGTAAGATCGAAGAGAAGAAGAGAGAGGTCGACGAGGGCCAACACCGTCATTGGCGCGAGACGTCAGGCATTGCGGCCAAATCGTGATGATTTGAGACAAATGACGATAAATGCGGAGACCAAAAGGCTTTGGAATAAATTACCTCCACATATTAGGAAACATACTTCTGCTGCCTTTAAGAGAATGGTGTCCGGTCATTAGCTTTCTTCTTGCAGTGGCTAACTTTCTTAAATGTCTCTACATATGTAGATATAAGTTTATATTATAAATTTTATAATATGCTGATATTGAATATGTTCGTATGTGTAAGTAACCTTAAAATATGTGTTAAAGTTACAGTCTATATACACGTCCCACTGCTGGGCACAGGCCTCCTCTCATTTCTGAGAGGGTTTAAAATAAAATATGTGTATTAAGTATTATTTAAAAATTACGTATACTATGTATCAGGTGTAGAGTATATTGTTATTTTTATTTATTTGTAGTGATATATTTTTACAAGTGAATTTATCTGGGCTCCAGCCAGAGGTTGCAAAAAAAAAGAGAATTTTTTATATATATGTTTAATTTACAATAATTATTGATGCAACGCAGCAGATTGCGTAGATTAGGGCTGCGCAAAAAGTGTATTTAAACGTATGTTATGTTTGCTTATATTTATATTCTCTCTCTCTCTTCCTGGCTATGTGTCCCACATGGTGGTGGGGTCAGCCTTTCTTGTCTTACGCCTCCACTTCGCTCTATCCTCGACTTCATTTTCGGAGACTTCGCACTCTCTCATGTCCTTTACCACTACATCTTTCCATCGTGTTTTGGGTCTGCCCCTAGATCTTCGACCTGGGTTGGAGAGTTGTAGTGCCAAGTTCCCTACGTAGTCGTGTGGCCTCCTCTTCACGTGCCCATACCATCGCAGCCTACTTTCCTGCATCTTGTCAGCGATGTCGCGCACGCCCAAGATTCCTCGCACGTACTCGTTGCGGATTTTGTCGCGCTTGGTAACGCCGCACATCCACCTCAGCATCTTCATCTCAGCAACTTGCATGGTATGCACATTCTTTTGAGTTACGGCCCATGTTTCACTGCCATACAATAGGACTGGTCTGATGATGGTCTTATAGATTAAACCTTTAAGTTTGACCGGCATTCTCCTATCGCACGTGACACCAGTCACTTCTCGCCACTTTAGCCACGCTGCGGCTATTCGGTGCTGAATGTTAATTTCCAAGTCCCCAGAACCGCTCATCATACTACCCAGATACTTGTATTGATCACACGAGTTCACCAATTGTCCATCGATGGAAATCGGACTGTTGTTTGTATCTGGGTCGTTGAAGGACATGAACTGAGTCTTTGCCACACTCAGCACTAGGCCACCGGTGTTTCCACGACACGAGTGCCTCTTGCAAGTGAGCGCGGCTGTCTGTGCAGATGGCTACGTCGTCAGTGTATATAAATGTCCACGTTGCTGAATTCTGTGCCGCTTCGGTGAGTGAGTCCAGAACCAAACAAAACAGAAAAGGGCTCAATACAGAACCTTGGTGCACTCCTTCTGTGACCGCTATCGACCTGGTCTCACCCACCAGCGTCCGAACCATTGATCTCGCATCTCTGTACATGTCGGCAATGATGTTAACGTAGTGTTCGGGGACATTTTTCTTACGAAGGCTCCACCAGATCGTATCCCTTGGGACACGGTCAAACGCCTTTTCCATGTCCAAAAATGCGACATGTAATGGTCGGTTTTTCGCGCGATACTCTTCGACAATCGTGTTAAGAGCAAACATCGGATCCGTGGTAGACAATCCAGGTACGAAGCCATAGTGGTTCTTAGACAGCTCGCACTCGGATCTTATGCGGCTGTCAATTACCCTCTCATAGAGCTTCATGGTGTGACTGAGGAGCTTGATTCCGCGGTAGTTGTTGCACTCGTACTTACTACCTTTTCCCTTGTAGATGGGAACTATAGTGCTCAATCTCCACGCCTTTGGCATTTTTGAAGAGAACAACATACAGTTAAAGAAATCGGTTAGCAGCACGAGTCCGCGTGGACCTAAGCATTTCCAAGCTTCCACTGGTATTCCGTCAGGTCCAATGGCTTTCTTGTTGGACATTTTGTGTAGGGCTTTCTTTACCTCATCAGGGTGTATTGGAGGTATAAGTCCTGCATTCACTTCCACTCCAGGAAGTTGTGTGGCAGCTAGATGGGGTAGGGATAGTAGCTGTTCGTAATAATGATGCCAAACTGTTATGACATCATGGTCTTTATATAACAAGTCGCCATTTGGACCTTTGACAGTTTTACACCTGGCCGGATCCTTTGTGCTTTGACAACGCTGTTTTGCTAGCTTATATATACACTTTTGGCCTTCTTTTGTGCTTAATTTACTATAAAGCGTTGTCTGGGACTGCGCACGTTCTATGGCTATAACTTTCTTGGTAACTTTTTAACTGCTTTGTACTTTTCCCGATCTTCTGGGGTTAAAGTGGACTGCCAGGTCTTAAAAGCATTTTTCTTTTCCCGTATTGCATCTTGCACTTTCTCTGTCCACCACCACGTCTCTCTGTCGGATTTTTTACCGCTTTTTGTACGGCCAAGAATGTTGTTTGCAGTAGTTATAATGGACTTACGTAAATGTTCCCATATGGTGTCAATATCTGATTTAACATCAACCTTTAAATCAGCAAGACGTTCACAGAACTCGGGAATTTTCTCACCTTTTAGGTTCCACCATTTGGTGAGTTCAGGAATTTGAGTTGGTTTTTCCTTGGGATGTCGTTTGAATAGCACGTCCATTACAACAATACGGTGTTGGGGGGCGACGCATTCTCCCGGAATAACCTTACAATTTGTTACACGGCCAATGTGAGCTCGGTTGATTAGTATGTAGTCAATCTGTGAAGATGTTTGGCTGCTTTTATACGTGATCAGATGTTCGATCTTTTTAGCGAAGAAGGAATTGGCAATAGCAAGATCGAAGGCTGCTGCCGTGGAGAGAATGACTTTACCAGCATCGTTTAGTGTTCCGTATGCGTAACCTCCGTGCACCCTTTTGAAAGCGCTGTTTGCTTCTCCGATGTGCTTCTCCGTTTAAATCACCTCCCAGTAAAGTAGTTTCTTTAGGAGATATTGATTGAAGAGTGTATTCTAGGGAAGTCCAAAAATTGTCTTTCTCTGCTTGGCTACAACCCACTTGGGGAGCATATGCAGCTACAATATTTAGTACCTCACCTTCCACCAGTACCTTTATTGACATGAGTCTGTCGTTAATACGGTTGACCTCCAGGATGTTTTCAAGATGATCTTCTTTGACAGCAATTGCTACGCCATTCCTACCATGCTTTGCACCTACGTACATAAGTTTGTAGCCCTCTCCGATATTACGGGCTTTGGATCCAGTCCATCGAGTCTCTTGTAGACATATAAAATCTACCCTTCTGCGCTTGAAAAGAGAGGCAAGTTCCTTAGTCTTCCCCGTTAATGTTCCTACATTTAAGGTAGCGAAGCGGACTTTTAGGTTACGATTTGGGACTAACGTCGTTGGCCGAGCCCGTCCTTGACTCGGTAGCCCTAGCATACTATTCGCAGTTTTAGGGCGATGTGACTGCGCGTCGTTTCGCGGCGACACCCTATCCGTGAAACTCAATCCATTACGTAACCTTTCCATGTTTCTTTTCTAAAGATTTGGCTTTTGGGGTTTATTAGTCTATTGCCGATTGCCATCTGACGCAAAAACACCTACCCGCTCAAGGTAGGGAAACCCGTTATGGAGGTGTTGTATCCAGTATACAGGGTATTTCTACCTGTATGAAGCGCTGTCTGGTTATCCCGCCAGACGTCGGTCGCCAGAGCCCCGTCCGTAGGTCAGCAGAGTGTACCACGTGCAGGTGGGGTTGGCGCTTGGGCTGGTAAAGGTGTTGTTTCCAGCCCCTTACACTCCCGCTTTGCTTATATTTATATTCATGTATACATATTTTCATATTTTTATAGCACCCGCTTAGCTCGTGGTTAGAGAATGCTTAAAGGCATTAAGTCCGCCAATTGTATAAAATTTTGTATGGAATTATTATTATTTTGCATAATTTTCACAATTAAACTTTATAATACAGACTGGCTCTTTCATAACTTTTAGTTGCACTTTTTAGTTGCACCGAAATGTTGATTTCTTGATCGTGAATTTCGTTGATTTTTCCATAGCGTTTAAGGTTTTTTCGTATGCAATTAACTACTTTAATAAATAAATAATAATTGAAGAAGACAAATCATCATTTATTTCATTAAAAGTATGTTTTTTGCTCCGTTTAGTAAACTGGCTCTTTCATGCCACTTCTCCATATTTCTTTTATGTTTCATATTATGGACACGATTGAAGGTCGTGATTATCAGTGATCATCTGAGAGACATTGTTTAGTATAAACATAAACGTGAAGTGCACAGACGGTTGTCCTACAATTTCTAATCAAAGTACTCTATCTGATATCAGACAACGAACATTCAGTACCTAGGAAAATAATAGATATGATTTGTGTACTTATTATTCTAATGAATTCCTTGTTGTAGATTTGTAGATTTTGTAGTGATGATTCAACATGAAAAAAAGTAAAAGTGATTTCGCGTCAACACACAACATCGTAAGCGCCATTTTATTTCTTTATCTTTTAGATACATATTTCTTTTGATAAAAAAATAAGGTGGTCAATAAACCAAGCCATGTTGTTATATAAGAGCCTTTGTTTATGGTATTTGATAAAAATTTAAAGACATAATATCCTGACCTGGTAGTATGGGACGTACAATTTTAGATGTTCTATTGGTATATCAACCCCGGCAACACCAAGAAGCCTGTTGACTGGATACTGTAATAGGAATTGAAATTACTTCAGACGGTTTTGTACTTAATAAATAATCTTACTCTACTTAAATACACCGTAACACACACGTGTAACGTGTACACTCCTCGAACCTTATAAGCTTATTAAATAAAGCAAATCCAAGAAGCAAGAAGCGTCTGTAACTAGATGCCGTATAGTGGCGATGTATCTAAGAGGCAACATAGGGAAATGAAACTGGAGATGAGTACTGTGCTGTACTGTGCCCAACACAGACCTTCTAATTCTTCAATTATATTTATGTAATCAAAAAAAAAAACAATTAGAAAATAAACTAAACTTATAATTCAATATCTGTAGTTATTGTAACGTTAATTATAATATGGATTATATTCGTATGTAGCGAAATTGAGGTATGGCCACATATCGAGAGTAGAGCACTCACTCATGTTGTAAGGCGTGCAATAGGATTACAATTAGGCGTGGGTGCCATTTTCAATAGATATTTATTGTGGTATGAGACGAAGCGATTGAAATCGTATATTTGTAGCGAATTAACCACACATAAATAATCTTTAATATTTACAATTCAAAAGCAAAACAAAAAATGAGAAAATACTTACAGTTCTTGTGGAATTTCTTTGCGATTCCTGAAAAAATTATTAATTATCAAGTATTTAATAAGATAAAATTATTGTTATGCCATTTTTTACATTGAATAAGGTAATAAAGAACTAATAACAAAGAAGCACTCAGTCCACACCTGATGGTAAGTGTATGATGCAGCCCATAAACACTTACATATATTCTCGAATAAGAATCAAAACATAAATGCGTTGTCACCCCTGAGGACTAAAATAGAATGCCTCTTTTCCAGTAAAAAGGGTCTCCTGTTCTCTACACGCACAATACGAAACACAATATGAAGATGTTTTTTACGCTGGTATTCCGTGAGAACGTGATCACACCTCGGTCGAGTTTGCCCATTTGTTCTGCAACCATAATGTAGTAGCTGCAGCGTGATTCTACTACGTTAACATGGATTTGGGAATTTCTAATAATTTAATTTATTTTGAATTAAATCCCCACTTACCTCGTTAAGTGTAATTGTTATATTCTGAAACAAAAAGTCAAATTTAAAAGTCAATTAATAATTCTTGTAAGACTTAGGTACGTTTAATTTGAAAATATAAGGTTGTTTTTAAAAAAAAAAAACTAAAAATCATATGACCAAATATTCAAACACTACTCAATTTTAATCTCATCTTAAGTCTCGTGCTGTCTCTATATCTTTCGCTACTCAATTTTAAGATGCCGTTAGGTCTCGTGCTGTCTCTATAACTTTAAGTCAAAGTATAAAAGCTTTTAGAAAAATTTACTTCGCAAATATCCGCGTTATAAAATAAAATTATGTGTCTTACCTCGTATGAAGAGCACCTCCCGCCCTCCCTTAATTGCGTGCACTATCCCCGTCACCACTAATCCCCGCACCACCACTCCCAACACCACTACACTAGGCAAGACACACCACTAGTGTAGTGGTGTTAGTGCACGCAATTGAGGGAGGGTTTTAGTGCACGCAATTTTATATAATGGATTTCCGCAAAGTAACGCCTGATTCTATTAATTAAGTCAAAGTGACTGTAACACCACGAGACTTAAGGATATTTTAAAATTGAGTAGCGTTTGAGTATTTGTCCATTAAAGTATAATATTCTTTGAAAAAATTACCTCTATTGTAGTGTGATCGAATACAGGTACGGACACACTAATTTGAAGTCGATAGTTTAAATCCTCACCTTCATAGTAATAGCCTAAATCATCCTGAAATTTGTAACAATATATTGTTATAAGATCAGAATAATAACATTGAAACTAATGTTATTGTTACCAAAAGGTTGCCATTATAATTTTATTAATTTAAACTTACCAGATTTAATTGACGCATGTAGTCTGCATACATTTTAGACTGATTTAGCAAACTAGCTTTACTCTTTCGGAGTTGCTTATATCTATAAACTTGTTCAGCGTTCTCCTTTTGCTTCCAGTAATATTCTAACCTTCTCGGATCCTGTTGAAAAGTAAAAAAATACATTACGCGATCAGACAGTTTTCGATTCTCATGGTAACCTATTCAATTAAAATATAAGTTTTTAAGTGCTAACTTAATTTTTTTTTTATAGAATACGGGTAACAAACGAGCACACAGTCCACCTGATGGTAAGTGGTTGCTGAGGCCCATAAACCTCTACATCTATCTTCGTTTGCGAATTAAAATGCGGATGCGTTGTCACCCGTGAAGACTAAGATAGAATGCCTCTTTTCCAGTAAAAATTATTTAAATGTTTAGTGTTCGTGTAAATATAAGAAATAATAATGCTAAATTAATTGAAATCGCAGTCTTCCAACTTGTTCTTCAATCGGCTATTCATTGTTCGATCTTACCTCCACACGTGCGTAGATATCGCTATACACAGTTAGTCGTTCCTTTCGTTGAGCGACGAGTGGCCGTTCCATGACCCGCAGTATACTCATCACTTGTTCCGTAACGTCAGAAGCTGTTATCAGCTCCGCAAAGTAGCCATCACGACCACAGCTTGAGGCTTCTCCGTAAGTCCGTGTATTATCACGTATGCCATATCGATCGTGCAGCCACATTACAAATAGCCTGTAGACATTAACATTTTTAGATATCAAGACGAAGAAAGCTTAGAGTGATGTGAGCATCTTACACCCATTGATAACATGGAATTATTTAATGACTTCATGATGAACCCGGAAGGGTCACTTGTGGACATTGGCCTTTACTGCTTAGGGCGATTTGACTTATTCACCATACTAGGCTAGGTTGTAAGCGCAATGGTTATACACCAGCTATCGGAAGACCCGCGTAAAAGAACAAATAGCTGACGTGAAGCACCAACGTTCCGGGAAGTCTGCAGTTTGTGATCATATCCTAGACGGCCCCCGCCATTACATTAGATTTGATAAACTACAAATTCTCAGCGATAGTAACGAACATTTATTTACTATATCAATAAGAAATAAAGTGATGTCAATTATGTTAAAAGATCTGTTTCTGTTAAAAAATACTCTACCATGGAGTAGCGTGCCTTAGAGTAGGGGTGTGAAATATTTCGGGGGTTCCAAATGAAGGGTAAAGATTTTTGACAAAAGGAACAAGAACTCTGTCATTGAATTAAAATAATTATATATATTGATTATAAGTTATTACTTACAATTAATACTCCTAGGAACTAAGCTAGCCAAACAATTCAAACCAACATCCTGTCCCATAGAAGTCTTTAGAATTTTTGCTTACATACGTTTGGGGCCTCTGTAGCCCGGGGGCCCCGTTTCATTGATACGGCTGATACAGCGGTAGCTACGCCCCTGCTATCAGCGCCGCTAGCGGTGAAAAACGATTTAATCATATCGTCATATGACCATATCATGAAATAGCAAAGTTGTGTTTCTCTTTTCTCGTTTTTTTTAAAAACGTTACCCCCACACTAGGATTTTCTCCTGTATCGTGGAGGCAGTTTACAAACACAAATTTCACAAGGACAAACATCCAGACCCGGAACAATCATTTGTAGGCCATACAAATACTTGTTTCGTGCGGGATTCGAACCCGCGCCCCCCAGCGCAGCAACTCATTGCTAAGCCACTGCGCCACGGAGCCGTCTAATTAGCCGTTTAGTTATTAATATCTTCAAACGATGTCTATTCATTGATTTGGTCAAGCTATATCATGACATGGTTAACAAAGAGTGTTAAATATCATGAAATGACCACACCATTTCACGAAATGATAGACTACTTTACGATATATTATGATCAATTCTACGATCTGGCCACGACGTACATTAAAATCTCTTTAATAAAACTATAATGATAATAAAAATTTTGTAACAATTGCAGACATACCAGTTTTAATCACTTTACATATATATTAGTAATTGAAATAAAAACCTTATCAATTTTCATATTTTTGATAGACGTCACTATTATCTATTGAAATTATTACACTTTTAAAATAAAATAACAAAAATACTAAAAAAGTAAACGTTAGAATTTTTAAATAGTTTTAAAAATTTAATCATTTAAGCATATAAATGTAAGTTATTTATATTATTTAACTTATTAGTAACTTAAGGCAAAATGTACTACTTTTTCCATTTGATGATAGATGACGCTGTTTTCATAACTAAATTGGTGTAATTTGAAATTATTTTACCAAGGTTGTAACTATATTTTAAACTTTATTTATAAATATGATGTTTATTTGGAAAACCCCATCATCCCGCCTGTAATTAAGATATAATAGAAAAATAACATCTAAAGGAAATAAAATACTTAACCTTCCTTTTTGAAGTTCCGTGATCGGTTAAAAAAAGCCTTTAAGTTGCTCCGGGTTACTGACTACCTACATACAAAATTTAATGTAAATCGCTTCAATCGTTTTTGCGTGAATCCGGAATACACAGACAGACAGACAGACAAAAATTTTAAAAACCACTAATTTGGCTTCAGGGCCCTTTATTTAGTCCCCTGGACTTATTTTTTTAAGAATATATTAGAATTACAGATTACAGATTACAAGTAAATTCAGTAACGACATAAATATGCAGAGTGGGTTAGAAAAATGTAAAATTTTAAATAAAAAGAAGGGAAAAATAGAACCAGGACCCTACACTTTACCAGAAGCAGGCATTATTTCGTCCATAGAGTCAGATGAGGTATATAAGTACTTAGGATATCAGCAATCCAAGCTATTAGACCACATTAGCTTAAAAACACATTAATAACAGAATACAAAACACATTATTAACAGAATACAAAAATAGAGTAAGCCGAATCTGTGAAACCATGTGAATAAAATGTACTACGACCGTACTATTCGGACAGACAAAACCATCTATCATAATAGACCGGATAATACGCTCCAAGATAAAGCCGTACCTAATATGTATAATTTAATTAAAACTATAACCAAAAAAAAATAATAAATACAGAACTGAAAGAAGAAATAAGAAAAATGTGGAAAGTGAAAAAAATTTTATAATACCAATAGTACTTTCTACCACCGGAATATGAAAATGACATATCACCGAACTTATACATTAATATACAAAAAGCAGCAATCTTAAATACATGTCGCATCCTTCGAAAATTCATGCAGGAAGACAGTAATGTAGCTTATCCCCTATTACAATGACGGTTACTTGGTTTCAACCCGTAATCGCCATTTATTTATCAGCTTTTAGCTGAGAACTAATAATAATAAACCTAGCAAGCTAACAGCATAGCAAAGTGGCGAAGCAATCAGCTATGTAGCGGTTTCTAATGGTTGCTGTTGAGCAATCAATTTCAAAATAGGAGGTTCAGATGCCTGGGTGATCAGTAATCGATTGCTGAAAACAGAATTTTTAAATTCAAAACCGTTCTTGAGATAATCGTGGGACAGACGGACAGACGGACAGACGGACAGACATCGTGAAATCAAAAACCTAGCAAGCTAACAGCATAGCAAAGTGGCGAAGCAATCAGCTTTGTAGCGGTTTCTAACGGTTGCCGTTGAGCAATCAGTTTCAAAATAGGAGGTTCAGATGCCTGGGTGATCAGTAATCGATTGCTGAAAACAGAATTTGAAAATTCAAAACCGTTCTCGAGATAATCGTGGGACAGACGGACAGACGGACAGACATCGTGAAATCAATAAGTGACTTCGCAAGCTTCGCCACTTAATAAGTGACTTCGCAAGCTTCGCCACTTAATAATAAAGCTTCTTATTTATTTTTATATAACTAACGCCTACTATTTTATTACGCACGTACACATTCGTAAGGGTCAGCAAAATGTGAATTCAATCGCACACAGAGGAGCGCGCCTACGCGTAGTATAAATCGCATACAATTTGGGATAATTCCAAATAAAAGTAGAAGCTTTATTTACTCGTATTTTCCAAAAACTGCAATAATGGTACCTATATCGTTATATATATATATATTTAAACTTAAATATAAACTTTGGGTACTCTTTGAAAAATACACTACATGCACACACACACAAACTCTCCATGCTACACAGAGTGGTAGACACTTCTTTCACATCTCTATCTATATCTACGTATATATGCTAGTCAGTTATATCAGGATACTCTTAATTTGGCCTACCTTCAATATACATACATCCAATAGGCATTCCTAGATATTGCCCCCATGTTCCCGCATAACGCTTTTCACCTATTCCTCATTAAATATTTCTACAGGTCTAAACCAACCTCATTAATTTAGGGTTGTGAAGCAATTATTTCGCCGTGCTGCTTCAGCGAGCGTTCGCGGACTTCACACGTCTTCGAAATATTTTTATTCCTCAGTCATGCAGGTTTCCTTGTGATGTTTTCCTTCATGATCGTGTTCGTGGTGAAATGAGAATTGACGATCGTAGTCCTAGCATTTTTCATAGTAGCCTATTAACACAACCACGGGAGCGTATGGGGTAATGGATTCTTTCGCTGCCATCACAAGTTTTTTTTATAGGCCAAGGACAATCGAGCATGCGGCTCATCTGATGGTAAGGGTCGATATCTTATAGTTGAGATAACTAGTTCTTTAATACGCGTTAAATCGACGTTTTATTTGATTATTTTTTAAATTCCATATTTCAACAGACATACGGTACCTAATACTACCGTCTGGATCAAGGTGGTTAAGCAGCTCCGTATAATTGTCGTAAAGACTGTCTGTGATAAGTACGATGGCTTGCTGACAGGAAGCGGGACGGTCCGGTGTGCCACGCTGTTTTTGTAAAAGACGCACCGCATATTTCAAGACATCTTCCATCCAAGTCTCATTACACATCTTGTAGTGATTCAAGGCTGCCATTATAGCAGCCGAATTCACGTGATTTGCCTGTGTATAAATACATAAGAAAATATCTTTCAATTTAACACTGCAACAAGTGTTTGAGGGAGCCCTACTGTTTATTTTTGTACATAGAAAGTGATAAATTTAGTACATATTAATCTATTTTATTAACTAGTCTTCTTTATTCTATAAGGGCAATAGTTTACTGGAAACATGGACCTCTAAAGTATTAGGTAAGATTTGACAGAATAGTCATGCTAAGCTCATTGAATATCACAATACCGAATCTCGTACCTGACGCAGCTTGCCGTAAAGTCTGTCTTCAGTTTTTAAATTTTATCTTTGACATCTATGAGATCGTTATAACTATCTATCGGGAGCCAAGAGATCTTACTGGAATTTCCTAAAGTCGTCACTTACGACATCCACGAAAAAATTATAATAGTGTCCTCCAGATCGAATTTCGGTCACGTCGCGGCGGCCAGCCTTAACGGAGACTAGCCATCGGCGCAGGGCAGGGTTGTAGTGCCCAAGTGTATACGCAAGCACAGGTGCACTCTCTTTTCACCCACTCTCATAATCCGATGGGACGGTAAATCGACACGACCGGAGAGAGATCAGGCGCAGGAACAACGGCTTTACGTGCTTTCCGAGGCACGGAGGTGAGACACCGCCAACTTCCTGACTCCGGGCAGCTACTGAGAATTTCTTGACGGAAAAAGCTCAATAATTGTTTTTTTTGGGCCGACCCGGTATTCGTACCGAGGTCCTCATTATCAGCAGTCGCACTACTACAACCACTAGACCACGGGACAATATGGGTGATGCATATGCCGCCACCGCACGGTTATTTAATTTGTTAACTGATACAATGCAATTTAATAGCTGAGCGTGGCGATTGTGGCAAATCTTCTCCAAAGTAGAAGATACCAATGTTCAACAGCAAACTTCTTACAGGCTAAATCTAATATATAAAAATAAATTTTTGTTTGTTCGTATTTTATACGCTGCCATACCGTTCATTAGATTGCCGTAAAACTTTGTCAACTTATTGCTTGCACTTGCGCGAAGGTTATAGGCATAGTACAATTAACTTAAAGTAGGTGGCGCGCGTATCGTATCTATAAATTTATTTGAAAGTTTTATATCATCATCATCATTGTTCATATTTAAACAACATAACTCGTCCAAATTTAAAATAATATTTCTACAATTATTTCTCCTGCGGCAGAACCGCGCCGGGTACCAGCTAGTGAACTATAAGACTAAATTAAATCTCCATACAAAGATGCTAGACAGTGGCTGTATCTTAGCTTTTTAAGTCACAGATTATATTACGAAGAATTTCATATTAGATTTATACTCACCGGCACAAGTTTGTTGTTGAAGCATGTGATTGGTGACCGTACAGTTACATTAAACCTTAAGACGTTAACTTGATCATCATCGGTCAGAGCACTGAGCAGAGTCAGTGTAAGTTTTTCCGCGATCAACTGTAAATAAAAATAATAAATAAGATAAAGGAAATAAACATCTACAAGTACTGGTAATAAGCTAACTCATAGCATATAAAATGTTGAAGAAGAAAATGATGATGAAAATTATATTTATTGTAGATATACTTGCGATTGTTATCACTTTAATTTTTGGGATTTGGATATAGTAGTTTCACAATATTTATTTTAAATTAGTATAATAATAATTAACGATTAATGAACCTAGTACAAGTGTTTATCCGAATCACAAAAATGATATTTATTTCTTTATCATATTGTGTGCTGGATATGCAGCATCTGTGCCACTACGAAACTCGTAATCCAAAATAACGCGATTTAAATTTTTTCTATTGTAAAAGACGCAAAGATATCAAAGTAAAAACCAAACGACAGGAAAACAACTGATTTTTTAGCTTTTATTGTCATTATTGATTTGCTTTACCTTGCCGCATGCAATTTATCGAATTTTAAACTTTTTTTTTTTTTTTTTTACATGGGGAAATGCCTACGCATACCCGCCTCGCGGGGGCAAGGACGGGTTATGTCGGACTCGCACCGACTAAAACCCCATGGTGTTCCACACTCGTCGCATATTGGCAGGGCCACGGGAACGCTTTCGCACACTTCCGCGGCCCCACCTGCGCTGGCCGCCCCATGGCGGCCCCTCCTCGGGAGAGGAACACTCCTCCCCCACCTCCATCTCAGGTAAGGCGCACCAGAACACATGGTGCGCCCTCCTCCTCGGCCTCTAATTTCCAATGCGCAACGGACGCCCCCGTGTCCGATGCGCGAAGGCCATGGGGCCAGGAAAAACTAGCACTCAGAAGCACCGGCATTCCTGGCCCCAGCGGCGGATCTGGTCTCGGGCTCCGCCGCCAACCAAGTTTCGGCCGCGGAGGGTAGGGAGAGCAGCGCCTCGCAATACCGACACTCCTCTCCCCCCGCGGCCCCACCACCACCGCATCAACGGTGCGGCCCCGTTTGAGTCGCGGAGGATAGGGCGAGTGGCGCATCGCCATACCAACACTCCTCTTCCTCCGCGACTCCACCTCGGCTGCAGCGGCAGAGGGCGCGGACTCCCCTCTCACCGCAGCCCCCCGACACACATCCGAAGTGGGCTTCCCAAGCCCACTCGGAGTGGCCACCTCGGGCCGGCCCTACACCACGGGCCAGCCAAGGGGTTCCTCTTTGTTCACCGTGGGTGACCAAGCCACGGCTACTAAGCCCCCCCGCCACGACAAGGCGGGAACCCGTTCGGGGGGGATCGAATTTTAAACTAGCCTAAGTAACTTGACTTAAGGTTTTATTTTATTAATATTGTTTACGAGCTACGACAAAAGTGAAATTTCTCTTGAAGTGTTATTAAATTTTCAAGCTTATTTTGAAAGTTATAAAAGAAACAAAAAAAATGTAATAATAAAATACATTTTTTAATGATACACAGTAACAAACTAGCTAAAAGTCCCTCATTCATTTTAAATAAAGAAGACATATGCGCTGTGAATCCTGAGGAACTAAGAAGGAAAACTTGAATACATCAGTGAATATCAAAGTAGTTTGGCATCAAAAGTAGGAAAAAGAGTGTGCTACCTACTCAGGCAGGCAGAGTAAAGGCAAAAAGAACCCTACCACTTTGCCACATAAATAGAGAACATAATAATAATTATTATTATTTATACTTTATTGTACACCACAAAAAACGATAAAAAAAGAACAAATTACAAGGAGTAAAACTTAAGAGGTAGGTACAATAAGGCGGTCTTATCGCTAATCAGCGATCTCTTCCAGACAACCTTAAGGTTAGGAGAAAGTTGTTCTATTGGACAGTGGGAGGTGGTGTATATTATAGTAAACTTTATTTATTGGTCATACTGTGTACAGAAAAAATACCCATACCAACCGATATTTAAATGGTGAATCTCACCATCATCCTTCACAGTTAGCTACCGTGGGAAAATCTTTGTTTCAGAGAGCACGAGGAATCTGTGACAGAAAACATCTGGCCGCCGAGCTTCAGCACGTCGAGCAAGTACTGCAAGACAACAAGCTTCGGGTCCCGCGCCTACGTCACAATGACCGAGTGAAGCCAGCCACAGTCGAGCGTGTGCCTGCTGTACTACCCTATGTCAGAGGAGTCACAGACAAGGTTGGCTACATCTTGAAGCGAGCTTCCATTAAAACGTACTTCAAGCCGCTGAAGAAGATTGGTCAATTTTTACCATCCGTCAAGTGTCATATCCCTCTACAAGATGCAGGAGTGTACAAGCTGGATTGTGAATGTGGTCTCTCGTACATAGGACAAACAAAAAGATCTATTAAAACCCGCGTTAAAGAACATATAGCTGACGTGAAGCACCGACGTATCGGGAAGTCTGCAGTTTGTGAACATGTTCAGGATCGTCCCCGTCATTACATTAGATTTGATAGACCACAAATCCTCGCAAAAGAACACCGATTCCTCCCAAGGATGATTCGCGAGGCTATTGAAATTAAAAAACATCCTAATTTCAATAGAGAAGATGGATGGGTGCTGCCATCTGCTTGGGATCCCATAATTAATAAAATCAAATCCAAACCCAAGTATACCACTGCTAGACTTCAAGATACTGTAAGCTCATTCTGCGTAAATCGAACCAAAAATTAATATTAAAAAACTGAAGGTAGCCGGGCTAACTATGACAGCAGGACGTCAAACAACTCAGTCCCCCGTGACCACGGGTGCTGGAAAGCACCCGAAACGTCGGGAATATAAAAATAAGTTAAAAATAAGTTAATATACGCGATAAAATCCGTAAAATTAGTTTTATTTAAAAATGTGTAGTGTTCGCGTAAATATAAGAAATCATTATGTAAACCAGTACGGACTGGTAATTGCAAATAAAATTCGCAGATTAGAAGATCTCATGACCAAGCGCGCAAGATATGTAACATCGTTGAATTTTCTGAAAAGGTGCCGCGACCACCAGCTCATTCCTACGTGCGTCAAAATATCTACTAAAAAGGACAGTCGAGGAAGCGCTAAGATCTTAAATCAGGCAAGTAAAAAGTTGTTACGAACGGTGATTCAGCAAAAACGGTTCGATTTACAAATCATAAATAATACCATAGACAATTTGTCCAGTGAGTTAGAGACCGTTTTAACGACATTTGATTTTAATAATTGCATTGAAACTTTAAACAAACGCGAAATATCGAAATATAATGAATGCAAAGACAAACAAATAGAAAAATACCAAAAATTAACTATCAAATCAAATGCCAAACATCCATGTCAACGTAGAAACGAAACGCAACAACCGTTGACCACAGACGCAAACAATAAACAACGCACGGTCTATAATTTGTCAAAAGAAACACTGGACGAATCAACAATAAGAGTATTGTCGAAAGGCTTAAATTTTGCTATAACGCCGCAAAAAATCCCGTACGAGGAAATTATCTGTAGTGTTGAGGATTGTCTGTTTAAGAATAATATCGGTAAAGAGGATTTAGAGGCTATACGTCAAGACATTTCGTCCTTGTTACGTCGAAGTTCAGCGCCGAAATTAAACCTGCCCAAAGACGAATTTAAAGCGTTGTACAACTTACGCAACAGACCAGAGCTCACGATTCTCCGCGCAGATAAAGGAAATGCTACGGTAATAATGGACACGTCAGAGTATAATTTCAAAATACAACAACTTTTATCGGACGTAAGTACATACAAAAAGGTCAAAATAGACCCTACAACTAATACACTCAAAACAACTACTGATTTAATAAAGAAATACTCCGAAAAATTAAATCTTGACGTGAATTCGACAATACCATCATGTGCCAAACCACCGAGGTTGTATGGGTTACCGAAAATACACAAACCAAACGCTCCACTACGTCCTATAGTAAGCCAGATCGATTCACCAACTTATAAGTTGGCTCAACACTTGGCGAAAATACTGTCACCACTAAGAGGACATACCAGAGCACACACAAAGGATTCATACCAATTTGTTAGTGAGATTAAAGACCTACATCTCGCTGACAATGAAACTATGGTCAGTTTTGATGTTCAGTCACTATTCACATGCCTACCTATTGAAGACTGCATCTCAATTGTTACTAGAAAGCTAGAAGATAACAACATGCCTACAGAATATGCAGTATTACTCAAACACTGCCTCACATCTGGCTATTTATTGTGGAAAGAAGAGTTCTACATGCAAGTAGATGGAGTGGCAATGGGCTCACCTGTATCTCCCGTAGTCGCCGACATATTCATGGAGGACTTTGAGGAGAAAGCCCTTCTTACTGCTCCTGTAAATCCAAGATTCTACAAGCGGTACGTAGACGATACTTTCACAATTTTACCATCTGACAAAGTAACTGCATTTTTAAACCACCTTAATTCCATAAACCCTAAAATACAATTCACAATGGAGTTAGAGGCAAACAATACTTTAGCTTTTCTAGATGTTTTAGTCATCCGAAATCCTGATAACACTATTGGTCATACTGTGTACAGAAAAAATACCCATACCAACCGATATTTAAATGGTGAATCTCACCATCATCCTTCACAGTTAGCTACCGTGGGAAAATCTTTGTTTCAGAGAGCACGAGGAATCTGTGACAGAAAACATCTGGCCGCCGAGCTTCAGCACGTCGAGCAAGTACTGCAAGACAACAAGCTTCGGGTCCCGCGCCTACGTCACAGTGACCGAGTGAAGCCAGCCACAGTCGAGCGTGTGCCTGCTGTACTACCCTATGTCAGAGGAGTCACAGACAAGGTTGGCTACATCTTGAAGCGAGCTTCCATTAAAACGTACTTCAAGCCGCTGAAGAAGATTGGTCAATTTTTACCATCCGTCAAGTGTCATATCCCTCTACAAGATGCAGGAGTGTACAAGCTGGATTGTGAATGTGGTCTCTCGTACATAGGACAAACAAAAAGATCTATTAAAACCCGCGTTAAAGAACATATAGCTGATGTGAAGCACCGACGTATCGGGAAGTCTGCAGTTTGTGAACATGTTCAGGATCGTCCCCGTCATTACATTAGATTTGATAGACCACAAATCCTCGCAAAAGAACACCGATTCCTCCCAAGGATGATTCGCGAGGCTATTGAAATTAAAAAACATCCTAATTTCAATAGAGAAGATGGATGGGTGCTGCCATCTGCTTGGGATCCCATAATTAATAAAATCAAATCCAAACCCAAGTATACCACTGCTAGACTTCAAGATACTGTAAGCTCATTCTGCGTAAATCGAACCAAAAATTAATATTAAAAAACTGAAGGTAGCCGGGCTAACTATGACAGCAGGACGTCAAACAACTCAGTCCCCCGTGACCACGGGTGCTGGAAAGCACCCGAAACGTCGGGAATATAAAAATAAGTTAAAAATAAGTTAATATACGCGATAAAATCCGTAAAATTAGTTTTATTTAAAAATGTGTAGTGTTCGCGTAAATATAAGAAATCATAATGAAGTTTAGTTTATAGATTATTAAAAACAGATAACTTAAATATTTTTTCATTTTACTGACCTGATTAGAGGAGTTTTTCATAGAACCAGAAGCATCGAGTAGAATGAGAACATCACGCGGAGCACCACTAGCGCTAACGTACCAAGGGCGTAAGCGACAATCGTAAATATCTTCCACGCTTAATTTTAACTTAAACATGTCTTCCCACAATGCCGCTAAAAATAATAACAATTTATTGTACATAAGTAATGTGTAAAAATACTGCCATATGTGGCGGCGCTGTTGTCGCGCCACAAGCGAAAACACATCGAAGCCTAAATCGCGCTATCAAAGTTTCGAAGTTAAAGCAGTATATATAGAATAGCTCCGAGCTATCATGTGGAGCGTTGGCCGCTCCCCGGGCAGTACATTTTGCCCGGCGGGAGATCTGCTGGAGATATTTATAAAGCATTTAGTTTTTCATCAGAACGTCTCGAATTTCAAGGAGAAGAAGCTTTTGAAGAAGGTCCATGGACCAATTTCAACAATGGTGATAATTTCAATGAAGAGAGTACACTTCAAATGAGTGCGATACAGCATAATATTTTAACGAGTTCGAATTTTAAGGAGAAGAAGCTTTTGAAGAAGGTTCATGGACAATTTCAACAATGGTGACAATTTCAATGAAGAGAGTACACTTCAAATGAGTGCGGTACAGCACAATATTTTAACGAGTCCGAATTTTAAGGAGAAGAAGCTTTTGAAGAAGGCCCATGGAGCAATTTCAACAATGGTGACAATTTCAATGAAGAGAGTACACTTCAAATGAGTGTGGTACAGCACAATATTTTAACGAGTCCGAATTTTAAGGAGAAGAAGCTTTTGAAGAAGGCCCATGGAGCAATTTCAACAATGGTGACAATTTCAATGAAGAGAGTACGCTTCAAATGAGTGCGGTACAGCACAATATTTTAACGAGTCCGAATTTTAAGGAGAAGAAGCTTTTGAAGAAGGTTCATGGACAATTTCAACAATGGTGACAATTTCAATGAAGAGAGTACACTTCAAATGAGTGCGGTACAGCACAATATTTTAACGAGTCCGAATTTTAAGGATAAGAAGCTTTTGAAGAAGGCCCATGGAGCAATTTCAACAATGGTGACAATTTCAATGAAGAGAGTACACTTCAAATGAGTGCGGTACAGCACAATATTTTAACGAGTCCGAATTTTAAGGAGAAGAAGCTTTTGAATAAGGCCCATGGAGCAATTTCAACAATGGTGACAATTTCAATGAAGAGAGTACACTTCAAATAAGTGCAGTACAGCCCAATATTTCAATGAGTCTGCCGCATTAGTGTGACACCGTAAAAGAATCTGTCATTGTAACCATCGATTGATGAATGACGGTATACGAGTAGCAATCTTTATATCACATAGAGAATGTTCAAACTGGTGATGGCGACCTCTGGTTCTAGGTTTGGGCCAATTCCAATGGGGCCAAACTCAGTTTTTTTTATACGATAAGGGTGACAAACGAACACACAGTTCACATGATGGTAAGTGGTTGCTGCGGCCCATAGACATCTATAAAAATGCAGATGCGTTATCAGCCGTGAGGACTAAGATGGAATGCCTCGTTTCCAGTAAAAAGGTTCTCCGACTCTCTACACTCACCATACGAAATAGCAGCGTTAAGCTGCTATTTTACGCTGGTATTCTGCGAGAGCATGGTCCTTCCCCGGTCAAGCCAACCAATTTGTACTACAACTATACTACTAATATAGCTGCAGCATGGCTCTACCACGTAAAGTTCTTGGTTACTGTTAAGAAATTCTCAGTAGAAGCTTGGAGTCAGGAAATTGGCTGTGATTCATACCCATGTCTCGAAAAGAACATAAAAACGTTAGTCCTGCGTCTGCACTCTTTCCATACATCAGGTTATGAGAGTGAAGTAACAAATTGTGCACCAATGCATGTGCACTATAATTCTGTCTTGCTAGTCCTGTCTGCTAGTCTTCGTTGAGACAGGCCACCGCGAACGACATTCGGTCTGGAGGACTTTATTTCACTATCGTAAATTATGAGACTAAAGGTTAAATATTAAAGAAAAAATAGAGAAGTTACCGGGATAATGTCTCAAAAAACCTTTGGCGCTGCACATGTATTGAAAGTCTAAGGTAGCATCATGAGCGTAGTTTTCTTTAAATGTGGATAAGAGGCCTTCTGACCAGTACAAAGCTTCCACAATCCTTGGATCTGAAAGCAAAAATTACAAGAATGACTTATGTAACAGACTGAATGGAAGTTTAACCAATAACCGTATGAATATTTTATAGTCTTTACCGCAATCAAAAAGTTCCATAGCCACGTGGACGCTACTGGTATCCAAGGAAACGCCCGCATCAAAGTGTGAGCTTTGATATGTCTTAACTTTATTCAAATTCCTGCATTTCAAGGGGTATGTAAAATTTCGACGGTCTTTCTTCCATTCCGTATCTTCCTTCTTCCATTTATCTAGATCCTTTAGTAGTGGCCGTGAAGCAGAAAATAAAAATTAATATCATTAAAAATTTTGAAATTAATAAAGTCAGACTATATATGCCCCACTACTGGGCATAGTCCTCCTCTCATTTCTGAAAGGGATATGGGGTAATTAGTTCGCAGCACTGCTCCAATGCGTATTTTATTATTAGAGCCCTTCACAAGTCCACTGCTGAACATAGGCCTCCTGCATATCTTACCAGGTCGTCACTCCATCTAGTGGGGGGACGCCCCACACTTCGTCCGCCGGTACGAGGCCGCCACTCGAGAACCTTTTTTCCCCATCGGTTGTCGGTTCTTTGAGCTATATGACCGGCCCATTGCCACTTCAGCTTACTAATCTGTTGGGCTATGTCGGTCACTCTGGTTCTACTGCGGATATCCTCATTTCTATGTTTATCACGCAGAGAAACTCCGAGCATAGCCCTCTCCATAGCTCGCTGAGCGACCTTGAGCTTCCTCATACAGCCAGCAGTGAAGGACCACGTCTCAGTTCCATAGGTCACCACTGGCAACACGCACTGGTTGTACAGTTTCGTTTTGAAGTTTTGAGGTATACCTGACGAGTAGATGTGCCGTAATTTCCCGAACGCTGCCCAACCGAGTTGAATCCGTCGATTGACCTCTCGGTCGAAGTTGGACTTACCTAGTCGGACTATTTGTCCCAGGTAAACATACTTGTCAATAACTTCGAGCTTAGTGCTCCCAACAACTACCGGCATAGGTGTGACATGGACATTAAACATGATCTTTGTTTGGTCTTAAGACCTATCCGTTGGGAAACACTATTGAGGTCATTGAGCATAGTGATTAGGTCCTCTAGCGATTCTGCCATAAGGACTTTATCGTCGGCAAATCGAAGGTGAGTGATGTACTCGCCATTGCTGTTAATACCGTATCCTTTCCAGTTCAGAAGCTTGAAAACGTCTTCCAATGCAGCGGTGAAGAGTTTCGGGGATAAAACGCGTATTGACGAACTTCAAATGTACACAAAAAAGCAATTGCTACTTTTATTATGTAAATGAAAACTTGTACTCGTAAGTAGGTAGGTGATTGATTTGTTAAATTATATTTAGGTATCTTCGGGACTGTGATGAATGACACTTTTTAAGTCAGATTGCCCGAAATTAGTGGGGAATTTATTCAACTAGTCAGTTCGCAATGTAACTGGTTAACATATGGTGTTCTTGGGCTCGAACAAAAACATCAACGTTTGTGCAAAAGGAGAAATTGTTGGTTTTTAACCTCCGACGCTAGCAGAGGGGTGTTATATGTTTAACGTGTGTGTATGCTGTGGCATCATAGCTCCAAAAGGGATTAACCGACTTAAATTTAGTTTCTTTTTGTTTGAAAGGTGATTTGATCGGTAGTGTTCTTAGCTATGATTTAAGAAAATCTTTACAGCCATTTGAAGATCATCAGATTTTTGTTTCGAGATTTTTTTAAATTTCCAATTTAATTATTGTTTGTGTTGCTACCGTGTCTCTGAAACTCCCATTTAGCCTTCCTCCGCTTTAATTATATGAGTTTTATAATCGGCCAAGGAAAAGTTAGGCTCTATACAAATAGTGAGCACCACAATGTCGCCTGTAAAATTGATGACGTTTTATTCGAAAATCGATCAGGCTTGATATCGCATCATCAACATATTTTTATGTTATATAATGTTAAAAGTTTTCCGTAATATATAATGATGTAGAAGCTACAAAGCAAATTAAGTATAAAGATTAAAATGAGAGAAGTAAAACATAATGATTTCTTATATTTACGCGAACACTACACATTTAAATAAAACTAGTTTTACGGATTTCATCGCGTACGAGTATATTACTTTATTTTATATTTTTATTTTATATATGCTTGGGTTTAGTATTAATTTTATTAATTACAGGATTCCAAGCAGGTGGTAGTACCCAGCCTCCCTTTCTATTGAAATTGGGATGTTTTTTTAATTTCAAGAGCCTAGCGTATTATCCTTGGCAGGAATCGAAGTTCTTTCATGAGAATTCGTGGTAAAACATACCACTGCAAGACTTCAAGACACAGTAAGTTCATTCTGCGTAAATCGGACCAAAACTAATGATTCAAAAAGCTGAAGGTACTCCGGGTTAACTCTAACATCGGGACGTCAATCACCTCAGTCCCCCGTGACCATGGCCCGTGCTGTATAGCACCCGAAACGTCGGGAATATAAAATAAGTTAATATATGTGATAAAATCCGTAAAATTAGTTTTATTTAAAAGATATAATACATTTAAAAATGCTGACTTTGCTAAGAGTATATGTGTAATTTGGAGGCGGTTGAATCTTTAATTTTGACAATTCTTCTGCTTTTCTCATAATAGATTCCGCCACTTTAGTCCGTCTCAAAAGAAGGTCCTGTATTGATTTAGCGGCCTGTTCAACAATCACAGATCCGTTACGAAATTCACTCCTCAAATCTCTAAAACCTTTTAAGAGTAACTCTCTTCTGACTATGTGATTTTCATGTTCCAACAATTTGTCTGATATTTCTTTGGCCCATTCCTCTAGTCTGTAAACATTGTAAACGTTATTTATTTCCAGATATTATTCACGCGAGTATCACGAAATCAATCTAATTTACAGCTCATATATGAGGTTAAAGTATGAAATTGCAGTTTTATGTTGAAAAATTCAAACAAAAATAGGTGTTTGAATTTTTATGAAAAAAATATATTTATTCAACCCATGTATTTACCCTCATTATCTAAACATTTCCGCCATCTTGACGAAAGATCATTTATGTGTTTGTGGTAGAACTCTAGGTTTTCTAGTTTCTACAAAATCTATAAAAGCACTTCGTACCACTTTCTAAAATCAGTTTTTTTCTTTCTGGGAGATTGTTCAAATTCCTGAAAAAATGTAATCGATAGGGGTGTTTGGCAAGTATGGAGGATGACGTATGGTTTCTAACTGCAGGTCTTGTTTTTTTTTTATTTATTTATAGGATAAGGGTTACAAACGAGCACGCAGTCCACCTGATGGTAAGTGGTCTTAATCTACATTTATCCTCAGTAAATAATCAAAATGCAGATGCGTTGTCACCCCTGAGGACTAAGTTGAAATGCCTCGTTTCCAGTAAAAAGGGTTTTCAGTTCTCTACACTCACCATATGAAACAAAGCAGCGTTAAGTTGCTTTTTACGCTGGTATTCTGTGAGAGCGTGGTATTTCCCCGGTCGAGCCAACCCATTCGTGCTACAACTATACCAGTAATATAGCTACAGCATGGCTCTACCAAGTAATGCTAAAACGGTTTGTAGAGTAGTGCGAGGTCTTGTGTAATGGCCAAGATCGATTGACAAGTCGGGGTTCGGAGAGTTTTGCCATCATTGTTCGGAGTTCTTCACAATAGACATCAGTTGATAGTGATACTCGGGATCTCAAAAAGATAAAGTGAATTACACCAATAAGGGACCACTAAGCAGTTAACATTACTATTTTATGAGTGAGATTCGCTTTATTGTACCTGATTTTGAATTGGTTTCAGCCATAGCGTTTTTCACTTAGCGATTATCGTAGAGAATCCAATTTTCATCACACGTCATAATGTTGTACGAAATTTCTTCATATCTGTACGTATTCATCACCTAGGCAAGTTTAAACGCGCCCTCTATGCAAATAAGTTAGTTAATGAGTGACCCATTTCTCGAGTTTTTATTTTACCAATTTGGTGCAAATGAGTCCATATTGTAGGTAAACTACGAAAAGCCATGACGCTATATTCTTGGTTAATCGATAAGAGATGGCTTCCACCATTACTTTTAAGTTATAGTTATTTACTCTAGTGTCTGGACTTCCTCGTGGTTCATCTCTCAAGTTTATGTTTCTATTACAGAAACGATTGAGCCGAAAAAGCACAGTGTGTAATTAGTCGTATCCTCTCCAATCGCGGCATCGATATTGCAAGTTGTCCCTGTTGCGTTAGAACCACTAACGAACTCGAATTCGAAAATTACTGCAAGTTTTTCTGATATACCCATGTTTTACTCAAATACCGAAATAAAAACCGAATAAAAACAATTGAAAGTCAAACAATAGAAAGTCACCACAATTTTGAACTTAGCGTGTTATAGTTTTTATGTAAAAAGTTCTAATCACAAATCTTGAATCAGGCTTATTTTTAATTCAAATTGAGCACTCCATTAAAACGGCAACTTCATACTTTAATAACCCCTATTTTTATGAGTAATGTTTTATTTCAATTAGAAAGGATTAATTGAAGCTTACAGCTGCAGCCAAATACGCTGAACTGCCGGACACAGGTCTCCTCTAATTTTTAAATGTTTAAGCGTAATTTAAATATGCTTTTTTACAAAGGATTTCCGTGTAGTGGCGGTGTAAGAATATCCACTACCCTACATCGTCTCGTGAATGTCGTAAGATGCGACAGAGGGAAACAAAACCAGGACATGGGCAGCAGCGTCTTCCTAATAATAAATATAAATATAAAACTGTAATTGCCAACTTGCCTGCCAAGCGCGTTAACTATATCAAATATTTTTCTGAGGGGGCAAGCTATGGGGAAGTCCTATGTTCAGCAGTGGACTATTAATGGTTGTAACGGTAACTGTTACAAAGCATTAATGTTACATATAGGAAATTCATTAATATATTTTAGAAATCGCGTTTGAGATTATTATTCTACCATATTTAAAGAGCATTTAAATCTAAATCGAATACCATATTATATTCTCTTCACTCAAATATTTGCGGTACCCACAATGTTAAACAAATAAGTTTATCTCTTGTGTCCATTAACTTGGAGCTAAGCTTTGTTTTGTTTCCAGAGTTCTATGATTAGAATTATCTAGGTATTTTTTATTTTGGTTAACATATGACTTCATTAAAAATTTGTATAATACTTACTGCTTAACTGAAATCATTTTAGGCTTATCTTCAGCATTATATGACGGCACTGCGGCTTTCAATTTAACTTTCACCACATTAGTTATTTCCTTAGGAATACTTTTGGATTTATTTTTTGCGGCGGTTAATTCTTTTTGATGCTCTTCAAGAGACTTTTTTATATTTTCCAAATTGTCAGATCCATGAGCCGTGGAAGTTTTACACTCGACAACTATTTTTTGAAAACATATTAATAATAATATAAACGATTTGAATTTCATTTTCCTCTGTAACATTTATTGCCTTTTTATGTGTATAAATATAACTTTTACATGATCACGGACGGAATATTGTTTAACTTAGATGTATAACAAATGCGGGCGGGCGATGAGTGGCTCTAAAGCAACTGGGAACATCTTCCATGGGAAACGACGCCGGACAGTCGGGCGCCGCGTTATGAAAAATCTGTGCCAAAATGTACCTTATAGTGCCCGACCTACATTCCGTGAAAAGCCACCGAGGGTTTTCTCAGATTCTGTCATATAAAGTAGATTTAACCACAACTTTTAGTGTCAATTATAAAACAAATATATTAAAAGGGCTTTATAAATACTTTGTTTTTGTAATCTTACTTTATGTTTACAAAAATTTATGCTACAGACACGATTATTTAAATTACTGCAGTCGATCCTTGACGTACTTACTTTATGTAGTTATTGATTATCGAACAGAATAGAATAGAATAATTTTTTATTCAATATTGATTATTACATAATATTTATTGAATGTCATTTTTTATTTACCACTGGTTCGGAAAACACCCCAGTCCTGGGAAGAACCAGCACGAAACCCAGCGGGACTTTTTTTTCAAACATATTCCACTTAACAATAACTTCGTTTATACAATTTTTAAATGATTTTTCATAGAACCAGCATGGTGGCGATCACCTTATTCCCAGGGGTTATTTTCATTCAAGTATATATAAACATATCCCAGTTCGGAATTTTCTTTCATTCATTCATTCATTACAGCCAATCAAAGTCCACTCATTAGGTGAACTAGGCTGAACATAGGCCTCCTTAAACATTCATAAAGGAGACACTTGTCACGCTTGGCAGGTGGGTTGGCGACCGCAGTCCTTAATTCTTCACAATTTTCAATTTCAACATTTAATTTTTTTTCTTCCTGATTTGTTTCATACCGTCCCTTACTACTTTTTTTTTAAATATCCTTTTTTTTAAATTTTGACTATATTATTAACAAAGATGCCTTAACAACAACTTTTAAAAACGTTGTCTTTTTGTCTGCCTAAACACATATTACACAAAACCCTCAGAAATGATTTTGATGGAACTTTCAGTACCTATAATGTTTTTTTTTATTACATTTGGTTTAGTGAGGGCATCCTCAATATTTTCTGCCACTAGGGCGGCTCAACTCATATGACCGTCACTGGAAGCTTTACATTGAGATAGCATTTCCGTTTTTTTTATAGGATAAGCGTGACAAACGATCGCACAGTCTATCTGATGGTAAGTGGTTGCTGTGGCCAATAGACATCTACATCAAACAAAATGCAAAAACCTTCAGAATCACCTCAACTGGGCACCCACCCCCGAATGTGGATAACATCATACTCGAGGTGTGGAAATGTGGGGGTGGTCCAAGGAGATAGAAACATGGGACACTGAACAACTCAAGTTACTTAAAAATTCATGGCGAAAGTCCACTATGAAAACTTATGAGGCCGCTTGGAAACGCTGGGTTTCATGGTCTTATAACAAAAAGGCATATCCTAAAAAATTTTTTTAACTGTGGTTTAAAAAGACGGGTTCACAACTAGCGCAACTTTTATCAGATTTATATTTAATCCATGGCTTGTTATATGATACAATACTTTTACATAAGTCTGTAGTTGCTACTCTGTGTAACGTTTAAAATTCAACACATCTAAGCTCACACGTTCTCGTATGTACTTAAATCAATTTCTCTGAAAAATCCGAAAGAGTCTAAACCACCTATTTGGAATGTTAGTGAATTAATTTCATTTTTGACCGCCTTCAAAGTAGATTCCAACAATATTTTACAAACATCTCGGCATACAGCAATTTTATTACTTATATACTCGGGTAGACGTTTACATGATTTAACGTTACTAAGAGTAGATCCATTGAAATCACTGCATATGGTCTGAAGATAGTATAATATTTTGACTGCATAGTTGTTCTAGTGGTTGTAGTAGTGCGACTGCTGATTATGAGGTTCGAATCCCAGGTCGGGCCAAAAAAAATCAGTTATTGAGTTTTTCCGTCAAGAAATTTCCAGTAGCTGCCCAGAGTTAGGAAGTTGGTGGTGTCTCACCCCCGTGCCTCGGAAATCACGTAAAGCCGTTGGTCCTGCGCCTGATCTCTCCGGTCGTGTCGGTTTACCGTCCCATCGGACTTTGAGAGTGAGGGAATAGAGAGTGCACCTGTGCTTGCGCATACACTCGGGCACTATAATGCTGTCCTGCGCCGATAGCTACTCTCCTCTGAGACTGGCCGCCGTGACCGAAATTCGGTCTGGAGGACGTTATTATTATTATTAATAGTTTGGCCTGAATTAGGCTCAAAAACTGATCGAAGTGATTATAGGCAATCTGGGTGGATATTTATTGCAAATATTAGTCATAGCAACCTAAATCCTCTGTTCTGGACAGAACAAACTATTATATACATATAAGTTTTAATAAAGATTATTATTATGGGTTATCTCTATAAAGTTTTCACATCTGGTTGGGCTGTTTAAATATATAATTGTAAAGGAAAGGTATAAAAATACATAAATATCAATAAAATAAAATAAATACATAAAAATATATAAATAAATAAAAACCCAACCAGATGGAAGCCCTCGACAGGGGAGATCAAACGGCCGAGGGTTAGGGGGAAAGGGAAAGAAACCGGCGGACGATGCAGGCAGTATCGAGGAGCACCGTCTTCTGCATTTGAGCCTGGAGCAGTCCGTCACGGAGTTCCAGTCGCCTCAGATGACCTGAGAGGTTGGCCGGGATTAGTCCGTTCGCAGAAACGGCCACAGGAATAATTTCGATCGGCAGACCACTCCACATGTTGGTCACTTCGTGAGCCAGGTCCAGATATTTTGTCAGCTTAACTTTTTTTTTAAAAACGTTACCCCCACACTCGGATTTTCTCCTGTATCGTAGAGGCAGTTTACAAACACAAATTGCAGAAGAACAAATATCCAGACCCGGAAAAATTATTTGTAGGCCATACAATACTTGTTCCGCGCGGGATTCGAACCCGCGGCTCCCAGCGCAGCAACTCATTGCTAAGCCACTGCGCCACGGAGTCGTCATATCTGTTTCGGCTTTTACGAGGTTCTCGTCATAAGGAATGCTATTGTCGACACAAAATATTCTTGGCTATGCCCGGTCCATCAGCACAATATCAGGCTTATTCGCAAGAATAGTCCTGTCTGTGATGTTGGCCCGGTCCCAGTAGAGCCTGGCGCGGTCATTTTCGAGCACGGCTTCCGGCAAGTACTTATAATATGGCATTTTCCGATCCACGAGACAGTATTTCAGAGCGGGCTCCTGGTGTAGAATCCTGGCTACTAGGTTGTGTCTGTGCAAATACTCAGAGTTAATAATAATAATAATATATTAATAATAATAATACATTGATACGCAAAAATAAATGTTAAAAGCATGAGCCAACCGTATTAGACGATATTCAGAAAGATCTAAACGGTACTTCCAAAATCGCACATTCGAAAGTAACCAAAAGTGGATGTATCGGTCTTGGGAGAACACTACAACTAATAGTTGTACTTATGGCAGCCCAAGCTTAATTGAATGTCTAAAGTTTTGGAAAAGTATGTGGTCTAGCGAAGTTTCTCATAATGAAGGCGAATGGATTCATGGAAAATTCTTTACGTCTTTGTATCAGTGGAATTAATCCAAATATCGATGGATTAATTTCCCAAATTCGAGCTCAAGTGTCTCATTGATCTCGGTGTATTTAACTTTCATAGTTTGTAACAATTGCAAATTTAACGATTTAATTATAATGTACCATTTTATTAAATTTCATTTTGTTATTTTAATAAATTGTACTATAATAACATTGACGTATTACTACATGTCTAATATCTATCGCAAAAAATATTATCACTACTTTAAAATGCATTAAGTAATTTTAAACGCGGCCCGCGAACGTATTTGCACGCTAAAGTTTGGCCCTCCACATGTCAAAGGTTGCCCATACCTGCTCTAGATAAACAAAAACACTTCGTTTGTCAGCTATAAACCATGGCATTTTCATTCTACTAAATCATCATGGCTGTCTAAGCCTTTTAGGTACTGGCTTTAACTTGTATGCAATTTTTAACACTTTCAGTAATTTTAATAAATTGAACCCAAGATGCAAGTCGTAGGGCTGAAAGGACACACAATTCATACATATTTACACTAATCATACTATTGTGCGCATTTTCGTCTCGTCATCACGAGGCTAATAGCTGAAAATCAGTGTTTGCTCTCTGAGAAAGTTTAATGCCTGAGCCAGGACCCATTTGTTAAACTGCAACACACACGTACATTTGGATCTTAAGATTATGTTACTTTTTCTTTGTAATACGTTACTTTATACCTGGCTTAGTAACTCAATTTACGTATGTGATTAGAGAATCAAATAAATGCTTTATCTAACTATCTGTCTACATTTAAAACGCTTTGTAAATTCATACAAAGCAGTTTTGAAACATAAGGACACTTCTGACCCTGTAAATGTCAAACCTATCATCCAAACTTTGGTTTTGTTGGTGCGAGGTCTGTACTGTACGCAGAATGGGTCACGAGCTCCACTTTTTAGCAGCCAAAATGACTTTGTCTTATTCGCGGTGTGCGCCGTAGCAATATCACGCTGCAATAAGATACGACTTCTTGGTCATTTTCCCTTAACTATTTCAAAAACACTGGGCGAACAAATAATGTGGACAACTCAACATTAACTGTCTTTTTCTCATCTGGTGGGGTATGCAGCAGTACCCGTCTGGAAGAAAAAAACGCAATCATTTTTCGCTCACTCTTCCAGGCTGCCTTGATTTTGTCGGTTTGTCGTCTGTCACCTTTGAACACCCATCAAGTAGACTGTTGCTTTCTTTCCGAAATGTAACATTATATACATGTTTCATTTCCTGTCACAATATAATTCACAGCATTTAAATGTCCGTGATCATACTTTAACAACATTTTTTTACACCAATCAACTCAAGCCC